GGTCACCTCTGGGGGGCGTTCGATCGCCCCCACGGAACGGGCTCTCCGATAAGGGGAGCACAGGCGCGGTGGTGGCGGTGCGTTCATACGAGATCCCGCCACCGCCGAGTTCCGCCCGAGAAGGCTGCCGCGGGGGTTTTAGTGGGTGAGAGTCCCACACTACCTCAGAGGCCCACCCCAGGACTCCGAGGTGTGCATAATGCATTTCCCCCGCGAAAAAAAAAAAAAAGGTACGCAACGTCACTAGCGCGTCGGACCGACAGAGAGCACCGATATCGCGGCACGCTCTACCGTACTCTCTCGCTCGCACACTTCCCCCCATAGACCACCCAAATTTTTCGGCACGTGTCAACACCGACGGAGAGCAGCGATACCGCGGCTCGCTCTATCACTCTTGCTCGCACGCCGTGACGTCATCCGATTCCTGGAATCCCGCGGCTACGAGATGGCTCATTATGGTAAGGCTTCCCGCAAGGGAAATTGTAAGCCGCCGGCCAAAAGGTAGATTTAATAAATTATTTATGAAACTACATCTATTCTGAATTTATCTGTTACAAATATACAAATATAAAGCAAGATATAAAAACGAATAAAACAAGAACATGTAAAAAGTAACATTAGTAAAATGTCCATTAACGGTGCATTTAGAATAAATTGTCTTGTAGTTAAGTGATAAAATATATACTTTTCCGTTTCATGTTTCATGACTGTTATATTTATCCCTTAACCTTAAACTGAAGCATCGGATATTTTTATTCTCATGAAATCATATAGATACACGTAATATGAATGGAATATATAACACTTCATTTGTGCTAATAATACTCAGAATTCATGCTTTATCGATAACGTCGGGTATTGACATTAAAATGGTAACAGGGCTACGTAGCCCTATGAACGTAGGACAGAAAAAAGCATTGGATGATAGGTCTATTCTATACCTAGTCGGTGATTGTATGTTCTTTCAAAGGCGCTAAATTCAACTCTTAAAATTAATTGATTAAATGTCAAAATATGTTTATTAGTTAGTTGTTAAGGAATTGTTCATAGAATAGGTGAAACGCTCGTTTAATAGATAAAATTCTCCAATTACATTAGTTGTTAAATATTTTATTCATAAAATTTGTAAAAAAAGACAGAAAAACATCATGTATATAAATTGATAGGAAATTAAAATGATATTCAATTAAGAACCTGATTCTGACGTCTAATTGTAAATCTGTATTTAAAAGCTACAAATAACTGTATTGTTAATTTCGTGTTAAATGAAATTGTATTTCGTTCAAATTGAGTTGTTTGTTATTGTTTAAATTTATATTAATAAACTAATAAGTTGGAATTTAAAAGAAGAAGTTCTCCTTTACAAATTGGAAATAATAACGAGCAAAGCGCATTATCGCTCTACGGGCACTAACTCAGCTCTTTGATCCATATTTTCCCCAAATTTGGATGCAACACGTGACACTAGTGTCTCAGAAAATCGGTCCATGGAAATGCAGTGCTGTTCTTATATGTTCCTCGTCTGTGATAAGCTAATGTAAAATAAACAGAGGAATTTTAATTGTCATAAATGTCAATGAGATAGGTGTAATTCAGTTTGAATATAATCTATTAATTGTGTATCAAGTGTAAGTACATTTTCAATAATTTAAATACTTTTTAGACATATATATACATGCTTCTATGTTTTTAATTTATATTCATTAAAATTAAATCTACAGTGATTTTTAACACTGAACGTGATGGCAAAAGATAATTCAAATGAAATTATTCTGTGCTACTATGATTGTGTACTTAGAGTCAGAGATGTAGCACTACTTCGAGGGACACATTGGTTAAATGATGTTATAGTAGGATTTTATTTTGAATATTTGGATGTTATGATTAATAAGAATGGAAAAAAGGAGATATACTTTATAAGTCCTGAACTAACACAGTTATTGAAATTAACAGATCCATCCCAGTATAATTTATTTTTTAATGATGTGAGTGTGGCAGAATGCAAGTGCATAGTTTTTCCACTAAATGATTGTGATAACAGAGAATCTGCTGGAGGATCACATTGGAGTTTACTAGTATATTGTAAACAAGAAAAGACATGCTATCATTTTGACTCATCTAAAGGTTGCAATTATAGTATTGCTGAAAACTTTGCAAAAAATGTAATGAATTATATGCTTGATAAAGATGAACCTAACAAGAAATTCATCGAACCAGATTGTCCACAGCAAGATAATGCATATGATTGTGGAATTTATGTTTTATGCTTAACAGATATAGTTACAGAGTATGTTTTAAAGACTGGAAAGTTAAGCGATTGTAACTATAGTCAAGCTAAGAATTTAGTTTCTACCAAACGTACACAATTATTAAACCTAATAAATGAAATAAAACATGAAGAAAGTACTGAAAAATGATGCGTACAGTTTGGTGTGAACTTAGGATTGCTGTATTCTATAATAGATTTTGCATGTATGCAATTTATACTGATGCAGTTACATGTTATTCCATACCCTGATAATAACTTTGCATTGCATGTATGTATATAACTAAGAAATTAATAAAGATATTATCTGTCAACACTTTTTAATTGTTAATTATAAAGTTTTGCAGAAGTTATACCACAAGGTATAACCTGATGTCACTAACAAGGAGTGTATCCCAGGTGTCCGCCTCCGATTGTTTTGGTTTTCGGATATGTCTTAGAGGACCGAAAAATTAAAAATACGTATTTTTTATATCGGCTCGTTTTCATATTTAGGGGGTGAAACCGCCCTTCAAAGTTTCGACCCTGAAGTACTATCTCGGAAACTGGAGGAGATACACGAAAACTTCCAATGGGCGAGTTTCATGGTTTTTTATGTACGATAATACAGTGTTAACAAATTATCAAAAGTACAATTTGTTTATAATAAGAAAATCTTTTATACCTTTATTTTACAATTTATGAAAATTTACATAATGACGAAAAGTAGTGAGCATTTCATTCCAAATCCATTGGTATATTTGTTTTTGAAATTGCTTCTTACAGTCTCGCAATTTTTTATTATTTATATTCCGTGCGCACACCCGGTGTTTCAGCTTCCGATTGCTTTGGTTTTCGGAGAATATATTATCGAAAGCTTTCTGGTTCATATTTCTCCCAAAAGATATTCATGAAAATAATATTTTAAATGAAATGCTTTTTTACACCAAGAGCATCTAACTATCGATGTTTCGTCACACAGACTGCACATTTCATTTCTGTATTCTGTTCGGAAGCAAAATGTACAGGATTTACAATATCTCCTAACTTATACGTCCTAACGAACGTATACATGACTACATCAAATTCGGGTAATGTATATTTTAAAATTATCTTAATTAAAAAATCTTTTATTACTAATTAAAATTGGGCTATGCGTATATGTGTAGTTACTACAGATTTTATTTTAATATTGCAGCTCATTTCAAATCCTGGCTGGACGAGGTATTTTCCTAAAATCAAAACAAGTGAGGTACTAGATATTTGGAGTGGAAACTGAACAAGATGTACACTGACGAGCAAACTCGGCTTCCACTAGGGAAACAAGTGGCGTAGGGAATGGGCCTCCTACCACTTGGTATTGAGAATTACTGAAATTTATGCCAAATAAACATTCGATTCATGATTTATTTCAATACTTGAAATAAATTTTGCCATGTGGTAGAAAGCTCTTTTCTTACGCCACTTTTTCCTCTAGCGGAAGCCGAGTTTGCTCGTGGGTGTACATAATGCGAAACCTGTTGACAAAGAAATAATTAAGAGGATACTAACAAGGACCACTGGACGAATCCAGCCTTTAAATGTTTATGGATTTAGGACGTGAAAGAATTACGTTAGGTGTTTTTCCGACGATGTACTGTAGCATGACTAAGACGTTAATCTTCATTTAAGAAACAATATAATTAAATTACAATCGCTTTTATAAAAATACATTCTTAGTATAAAAGTGGGTACGCAAAAAAAAGTTTAGGACATTTTCTAATCCTGTAGATTTTGCTTGCGAACAGAATACAGAAATGTAATGTGCACTGTGTGATGAAACACCGATAATTAGATGTTCTTGGTGTAAAAAAGCATATTGTTTAAAACATTTTTTTCATAAATATCATTTTTGTGACAAATATGAACCGTAAAGCATTCGATAATATATTCTGCGAAGACCAAAGCAATCGGAAACTGAAACAGCGGGCGTGCGCACGGGATATAAATAATAAAAAACTGCGAGACTGTAAGAGGCAATTTCAAAAATAAATATACCAATGGATTTGGAATGAAATGATTGTCACTTTTTGTTATTATGTAAATTTCAATAAGTGGTAAAATAAAGTTGTAAAAGATTTTCTTGTTATAAACAAATCGTATTTTTGACTATTTGTTCGCACCATGTTATTGTACATAAAAAAACATGAAACTCGCCCATTGGAAGTTTTCGTGTATCTCCTTTGGTTTTCGAGATAGTACTTCCGGGTCGAAACTTTGAGGGGTGGTTTTATCCCCTAAATATGAAAACGGGCCTATATAAAAAATACGTATCTCTTATTTTTCGGCTTTAAAACATATCCGAAAACCAAAGCAATCGGAGGCGGACACCTGGAATACAGTCCTTGTATGGCTTTATACATGTACATGTTACAGAAGGCATTAAAAATAATATCCTTGATTTTTTTATTATCATAGTGTTACATATGTAATATTCTTGAAAAAATGGAAAACATAATTGTTATGAAATACTTATTCGATTTTTAACATGAGAAACTATTGCTGTTCTAAGCTTTTTACATCCTTTCATTTATCTAAAGATTATATCGCTTTCAATGTTAACCCAATAATTGTAAGTACAGCGTCTTATGCGGCGACTTGAATGCATTCTTAAATTAAGTACAGCTAACACACATATGTATGTAATGCCACATATACATACATAAGTATACCGTTGGCGGAACAGGAAGAAACGGAAATCTTGCGTCATCCTTGAGGGGTTAACATTAGAAATTAAATCGATAAGTAGTTTTTTGTGGAAGTAATATTAATAAAGCTGCTCTTTTATTTTCCAGCTAATTTTACATTTGGTTACCGTATTTTAACTGTTGGACACAAATAGTAAATGCTGAATAATCGCGTATTTTTTTTAAGGTTTATAAAACTATCAATTTGTTAATAAAGAATTCAAAATATTCTATAAGATTTTAATAAAATCAGGCCAATTTTAATAAAATATTTTAATCAAGTTTGATTTGAATAAAATACTCAATGTAAATTAAAATATTACATATTACATTTTAAAATATTCTAGATGCACTTAAATTATTGTATATAACATATTTGATAAAATCTTAAGGGAGCAGAACAGTATAACGGCCCCAAACCAGCAGGTATTTTTGGGATTTTTTCCAAAGAAATGATAAAATGGATTTTTTTTCGAAACTGTTGGAATATTTTATAGTTATGATTTTATAGTTTCTTTGGAAAAAAATCCCAAGAATACCTGCACTTTTTGGGCCATTACAGTGTTCTGCCCTCTTCAGCAACTAACAATCGACAATTGCATTAGAATATAAGAAATGCTTTCTTGACGAGTAAGAAATTCCTCTATGCATAACACACAAATCGAGTTATATTTTCATTTATCTATTTATCAATAAATTAGATATCCGAATCGATGCTGAAGCAACTACGAAATGTCCCGATTTCGATCGACACTTAAGAACTGATAGGATATAATCGCTTGGCATTGGCAAGATCAAATAACACGGTTTTTTTTTTTAATTACGTACGTCGTTTTATAGTACACCGCGTGCATCCATAAAAGTAGTAATACTATTATCACTTGATGTACACAGGTCTTTAGTGCCCGAGAAACAATTAGAGCGGCGCACAACGATGATAAGTTTCGAAGATAGCGTCCAATTATTTAACCGTATGCTATCATGTGTTTCAACGCTCGAACCAAGTTTTCATAATCGTCAGATAAAAATGTTAGCAAAGAATCGCACTCTTAAAAACATTATTCGCATAATTCGTCAGCTGATTCGACTCCGAAAGAATGAATCCCGATTTTCGTATTTTCGGTTATCCTATCGCGTGCTTGCGTGTGCAAGACAACAGGGGACGGTTGAACGGAACAGAAGAACTAGTAATAGGCACCATCGACTAAATTAAACTATCGACTAATGACTATTTAGTCGCAACATACTATCGACTATTCAGTCGATAGTTTTTAGTCGACTGAAATTTTGCTTTATAGGTTATGTATAAATTATGTCATCAACTTTTCAACAACATTGGTGTATTTACCTTTTCGAAATGTATTAGTTTATAGATAGTATTTCAAAAATATAAGTGGTAAACAAGTTTTTTTAAACAATTACTAATATTCGATTTTTTGTAAGCTATTTAACATTGGCACTTAAAAAATTAACTGTTCTAAATTTTTTATGAAAATTAATTAGTTATAAGCAATAATTTGCACAGTTCTTGGTAATGCATAAAAAAATATATGGAAAAATTACAATTCGTTTGCATCGCGAAGAAAATAATCAAGATCCAGTCAATAGCGATCAATAGCTCGACAGTTCGAGCGAATCGCTTGAAGCGACTAAATTTAATCGACTAAAGTAGTCGCTTCAATCGACTAATATTAATCGCCTGAAAGTAATCGCTTCAAGCGACTAATATTAGTCGACTGAAAGTAGTCGCTCCAAGCGACTAATATTAGTCGACTGAAAGTAGTTGTTGGTTACTATCGATTTAGTCGATAGTTTTTAGTCAATGGTGCCCATCACTAAGAAGAACCGCCTTATTGCGTTGAGAATTCGCCAGTATGAAATTCTACTTCAACGCCGGAAAACTTCCGTCGCTCGCGCGCGTTAGCTCCGAATGCGACGGGTACGCGTTTCAAACATAAAACAAATATTGTCTCGATAAAAGTGGTGGAGTAATCGATTGATAAATGTAATCAGTATCGTCGTTCATGAGCAAGAGATTTTAGTCTAGATTTCGGTTCGTTTTTACGCCCCTTCGAATCGACAATTTCACGATCAGTGATTTAATTTTACGTTCGGCATACGGCAGAAATTACATATTCGTTTCTGACACTGTTCGTTCAACAATGTTATGTTCGCGGCGGCGGTACGTTATCGAATGTTAATCCTACAATTAGTCGCCGTCGGGCCCCAGTCGATGTGTACGTACATTCCAAGGGTTTAGTACACGCTACGGATTCCGCTGTGCACACCGAGTTTTATCTCTTCGCGGGCTAAGCGATTTTACCAGAAGTATCTCCAGTCGTGACAAACCGTGAACGTCCGTTCGTTTCGACAGGCGTGCGATACTATTTTAAGTTTGTGGAAACAAGCGCTGCCTTCTCAGTGCAGCGCCGTCGCGGGTTTTCGAGCTATCGTCCGTGAAAGTTAACGATTACAACGTGACGGTGACTTCCTAGAATGGGAATTGATTAAGCAGCGTAAACACATGGCATTTTTTAAGTATTCTAATCATCACTATTGTCTTCTTGTTATGCGTTCGTATTGAGAATTTTGTAGGCATTATCTCGTTACACACAATGATTTTTTATAGATCCTTAAATATGTAATTTGACGATCGATATTAAGATCGATGTACAGTGAGTTACAGTATTCGTACCCTCGCAGTTCTTGAATTCGAATGACTAATAATTTTGTAACAATACATATAAGTTTTTAAACGATCTGTCGTTTATTGAAAAATAACAATTCATAATAATGTAAATGTAAAACTCATAGTAATACAGTAATATAATATATAAATTCATAGAAATATAAATGAAGTTCACAAAAGTATTCGTGCTTGTACTAGTTATATCCTTGTGGACTCAAAATATTTGTAAGTATTGTAAATTCGTTAAATTGTACGAATTAGAATACTTTTATGAGATTACATTTTCGATGATTTGCTTATGTTTCCATTTACGTATACATATTACTATTTTCAATTAACGATACATCATTCGAAAGCTTAGTTATTGCTATGTCCTTATTGATAAACGTTTCGGAATGTATATTGTTAAAGAATATTAATCATTCGAATTCAAGAATTGCGAGGGTACGAATACTTCGTGACTCACTGCATGTGTACTAAATTACGAAATAAACAAATGTGCTAAGCTGTATTGAACAAAACTCAGAAGATTTTTGAAATTAAGAATTAGAACTGGATTGTGGAGTTGTATTTAAAATTAAACATATTGTATGTTAGATAATAACAAGTAGAATTAGAATTGGAATTTTAGAATTTCGGTTCAATGTAAAAGACGTTCCTGAATAAATAGTTGAAACGAAATGAATAAACTCGTCGATCGCGTGTATGCTTAGTACTGGAAGGTGATACAGGTGTGACACAAACTTTTTTTAAAATGAATCGTAATATTGTTTAGGTACTGATCGATAACCTTCAGAGATAAAGTCCCATAATTGGTGTTCATGAATAATGTGCCATGTAACTTTTTCAAATCTCTGTCAATGAGATCTGATCATGTCTGTCAAGCGAAACGGTTCGGTGGCCGATGAAAACAGAAAGGAAGAGAAGGAGGGAATCGAAGATGCGAGAAATACCAGTGAAAATTTCGATCCACCTGACGGCGGCTGGGGTTGGATTATCGTGTTAGCCGCTGGATTTTCCAATGTAAGCTGGATTTATTGCAGACACACGTTATTAATTCCTTGCAACTAATAATTGTTCACTGTTTCACTTGAAAAGCGTCTTTTTTAATAAACTCGTTATCTTTTTTCGGTCCTTTTCCGTGATCTATTTATTTCTGCGATTTATTTGGAATTTCTGGGCAATTTACTATTTCAAAATAATTTAAAGAATATTACATGAGAAATTGGAACATTTGAACAATTAAAACTACAGTACCGAAAAACATTCATTGCATCGTTCTTTCTACCAGAAAAATGAATTAAAGTAGATAGTTATTGCACAAATGTGCAGTTGATTCTGTTGGCCAAAATAAGATGGATACGAATCATTTTGTCAATGATATTGCTTTGAAAATTGTGTATACTACGGTAATTTGAGAGCGATTCGATAAATATTTCCAGTACTGTATTTGCTTTTCAATTAACTCTTTCGCAGCCGCCGATTCTAGCGCGCTACCTACGAATGGAGCCTCGCGTAATTTCTGAAAGTTTATAACTGGTTACAAATCCAAACATGAAAAATTTCAAACTTATAAATACGGGAATATTGAAATTCAAATAATTTTTAAAATTCATTTGAAAAAATAATGAAATACATTTGCGTTAAAGTATATAAAATTGACATAAAACGATATACAGTAAATCCTGGATGAGTGTTCGCAGGCTTTTCGGCATTGAACGTTAAATATTTCGTACACTAATGGTCTTATGCGATTGAAACGAATATCATTGTCTTCAGAATTCCAAGTTCGATCACTTTTCTAAACGTCAATAAAAAGTTAGCGTTACATCTGGGGACCTCTCCTTGTCAGTGTCAAGGAGCTTTCGAACACTCACCGAGGATTTACTGTATTTTAATATTATTGTTATATACAGAGAATACCCAGTAAACGCGAACGAACGATTAACCATTAATATTGCATTTTCGATTTCGAATTTGACTATTATGTCGTAGCGCCTAATGTGCATGCGCGCAGCACAATATTACCAGGGATGTATAAACAAAGCAGTGGCCCCCTTATCTATCATTGTTTTACTTAAAGCATCTATACTTTGAAAATGACAGTAGAGCAACATACATTTTTTAAAATTTTTTGTGTTTTATACCAAGAAACATGTAAACAAAATTTGTTTGATTCTGGGATCGAAATGTTTTTTAACAAGTGATTTGCCTCCCTATAAATATAAAATGACAACCAATTGATTTTATAATTACATAAAATTACGTCAGCATCAAGTAGTTGTAAGTTTTATAACGACGTAAAACTAGGTCAGCGGTAACCGGTTATAGATTTTTAAATGGTATAAAACTACGTCAGTGGCTGCTAAAGTGTTAAATGAAATTTGTTTTCCGAAATGAAATACATTATTGTACCACGGAATGTTTTAATATAATTGACAATTTAAGACCATACTGCTCATCAGTACATATTTGCTTTCCCATTGAAGAAATGCTTTCCATTTTGACATTTCTCTTTGAGAATTTTCGGTTAAGACCTTTTTCTCCTTTGGCGGTCCGAAAAAGGTGATTTTCAGGAATTCTTTTTAGAGAAGCGAAGAAGACATGGTAAAAAAACTTCCTGCCCTTTATTTATTATACAATCAAGTAAATGAAAAAAAATGTTTATTTCAATATTCGTGAAGCGTGGGAAATTGTAGGTGGAACTAATGGTGTTGATCCGAAATTGCACTGTACAAACGGTGCCCGCGATATCTCGATATAGATTAGTTTGAAATTAGAATTTCAAAAAGATTATTGAATTTTACTCCAATGTTTATTGTACGACCTATGTTTCGCGAAGTCAAAATAGTAAAATGGTCGCGTCTGGTATAAATTTTAAGAAAGACATGCAAAAAAGGGGGAAATTTTATGCTTCAACCCTTTTAATAATAAGCCATACCATAGCTGATTCAATTACAAAAAGAATGCCACAAGAATTTTTAAAATCGGTTAATAACGTTATGTGTTATGATGGGCACCGTTTGTACAGTGCAATTTCGGATCAATACGCTTAACGCCAATTACAGGAATATCGAAACAAAAATTTTGTTTATTTATTTGAATGTACAACAAATAAAGGCCAGGAGGTTTTTTACGATATCTTGTTTGCTTTCTTTAAAAAAAATTCCTAAATATCATCTTTTTTCCGGCAACTAAGGGGGGAAGGGACCTTAAGTGATCTTGAATTTCTCTTAGTTGGTAGTTTTCCATAGGTTTAATTGATCTGTACTATAAATGGATACAAATAGGTGTATGATTCTTTCAGTTTTGTATACTACCGACGCTGCAATCCTTTGGATTAATATTCAGAGACAGATTCGCGGAGTTGGGCATCAATTCGTCCCAAATAACGACTATATTAAACATACACTTCGCAGTGACTTATTGTATCGGTAAGTGATTTCTTCGGTTGATGGTTACGCGATCGAAGTATAACTTCGATGGTCGGAACTAACAGGGAGACAAAAGCGTTCGAATAGTAGAACGACAATTTTTTATCGTATGAACACAAATGAACAAATAACACGTCGAATAAGAACACCTAAATCCCATGAATTTGTAACACTACGTAGAGTAAACCAATCACGAATGACTGAATTGTTGAATTTATGGACGTATTATTAGATATTACGATATTATTTAGAGTAATTATAAAGGATATCATCGTTGCGAAAAGAAAAATTAAAAAAATACATTGTTCGGATAATAGAACATTCCAATAAGAGAACTTTCGGTTAGGTAAGCGCTCGGATAATGGAAGTCCCGATGATCGAGGTTCTACCTACTGTATTTAAATACACTCGGTTGTACACCTTTTTTCTGTTCTTTACATTATTTGTGCTCGCTCACGTACACATACAAGCTTATTATCATCGGATGTAATTGTCCGATAGGTGCCGATAAAGCAATGCGTCAGATATTCGGGAAAGGGAACACTCTTCTCTCGAGGGTCTTATCTCGATCTGCCGTCAATAATTTCGTTTTATCGTAGACATGTTTGTTAATCCAACGATATCAATGTCAACAGTAGGTACTGATGCCACGAGGAAATAATCGTGTGTGCATTGAACAGTACGCAACTGTACATACAACAACAATGAATCAGAGAGTTACACAATGTCAGCCGTAATTCTTTCACGAAAGCTTAATGCATACATGGCAATAAGAAAAATGTTACAAACGGATTAATGGTAATTAATGCTTTATCAGACGGTAGATAATTTGAATAAACAGGCTCATCAAATTCATGAATTACGAAACATGTAAATTCTCTTAAGGATCCTCTTTTAGTCTAAAGTACCTATCATTTCTTTTTGTTCTTATTTGGGGGGATTTTTTTACAAATAAGCCATTAGACTTTTTCGTATCGGATTTTTGCATACATATTAATTTATGTTTTAAGAATATTCACCATACTTGTTAAGTAAAAATAATCAATATTGACTGGATTGTACATTATTTAATACCGACCCTTCAAAAAAATGTGTCTTACCGACTGACACCATTCCGAACATTTTGCTTATTTGAATTGAAAAAACTGAAAAGATTCTCGATTATATAGTATGAGTGTGGCTATGGAATGAACCGGCATGATTAAAAAATGTCGAAAATTTAAAAAATATGTCGATTATCTCGATTTTTCCGTCTTTTGCGGGTTAAAAAGAATGAGAAACAAAAAATCATTTTTTGGTAATGGAAGGTGTACACCAAATGTGAAGCCAGTCAATTAGAGCTCGTGATATCGTGTTAGTCATTCCAAAAAATTTCGGTTTCGAGGAGAAACACAATTTTGTATGTTGCACGGTGCTGGCTGCGTGCCGCTTTCTTTAAAATTTAAAACATTTAACGCGTTGTTAATTTTACGAATTCGGGCGAACCCTTCTGTAGATGAACTTTCGAAAATCTATACTTTCAGAAAACACACAAAAAGAAAAGAATCGATTTTTTGAAAGGTCTAGACTAGAATACTCCCTTGAACCATTGTCACGCGTTATTACACATAACAATTTATATATATAAATTGTATTGTATTTTAATACTGATTTATGATATAATGTGATAAATTATTTAACAAGTATAGTAGATAAGGTAATAGTTACAGTAATAGTAAGTTCTTGTATTTTTATGTGTTTCAATGAGATTTTTCAATGTTACAGGATTAGCTAATGGCCCACTGTTTAGGAAGTTCAGTTTTAGACAGGTAGCTTTCACAGGTGCACTCCTTTGCGCTGTATCAGTTACAATACTGTCTACTATGGACACGTTTGCCGGTGCTTTGATCTTTTTTTCTCTTTTATACGGTAAGTTTGTAGTAACAGGATGCATATAATATAGCATATTTAAACTTCTTCGAGGTAGTTTCAAATAGGCCTCTTATTTTTCCAATATCCGAGTACACCCAATTCTGTTTTTAGATGAATTTTTTGTATACGATTTTGATTTAACACGAATTAGAAAAAAAAGTTCATTTTCTTCTTATACGATCTGCTTTGACTTTCGACCCAAATTCTAAGAAACTATTTTTGATGAAAGATCTTGAATGAAGGTCAAGTGATCAGGAAATTAGGTAATCCTTTTGTCAAACATGATCTTAATGAGGAATGAACTGAAAAGTTCCAACGTGATCTTAAATCATTAATGACATCATGGAGTGAACGAATTGAATTGATGAACGTGAAGTCATTAAATATAATCAAAACATGTACACAAGGATGAGAAACTGAATTCGTTCTTAAAATCACTGAAACATTCGCACCTTTTGATTGGTTCTAATTTTGTTCACGAGATTAAAGAAAGAATTTCACTAATGGAGTAAGAAGACAATGACCAAGATATTTTTTGTTCTTTTTAAGTGATAATGCTTTATATAATACATTTTTATATACATGTGCAATCATTACAAAATAAAAAGTGCAAATACGTGAAAATGATAAGATTCTAATATGACTTTTCATATGGTTTATTCTACATATTATTTTTGCTGATTCTTTAGGTCTAGAACCAATCTTCTACTTTTCCATAGATACAGTTTCTTTTTCTACACGAACTTTCTAACGAACGTGTCTATCGCGTAAAAACAGAATTGGGTGTATTTGAAATGCTTATCATAACAAAATTCGGATTCAAATACTCGACTATTTGAATATTCGAAATACTCATTCTAAGTGTAAGTTGAAGTTGGTTTCGAAATCTGAACCCGCATGCTCGTGTATTCGATTAACTATCTGAACGATATCCCTATTTGTCAGGATAAATTATACGTACTTGTTTTCTAAATGCATAAGTTTATTTAGATAAGAAATTAACGGTCTCTGAAACAACAGTAATATACTCAGTTTTTCATTCAGGTGTTCAGATATTCAGATACAAATTATATGATTACATCAAGTGAGTTAAAGAGCTCTAATTACAACATTTATGTGATTATTAGAAAGAGTCAAATGTGTACTAAAATAACTGTAAATAGAAAACACTTTTTCTGCTCAAACTGATAAATCGTTTGTAAATCTTTAATAAAATCTATGCATACTTAAAAGAAACATTTGTTTTTCACGTATAAACTGTTACGTACCCATCATCGTTTTCAAAGGATGAAGGAAGGACGATATACGATACTTCAAAGTTGAATTTATGTCTTCTAAATAAACTTAAATCGTGAAATTGTAATTTTATGGGCTGAATATTAATAACTTAATTTTATAATAAATGCGGTTTGGTAGATGTAATATTATGTATAATGCAACATGTAAACGGAAAAACTGTGCATTGGAGCTATATTTTAAAAAGTGGTATAACTCCAATTTGAAAAAAAGAGAGGTAAAGCGGGTTTCAGCTATAGGTGAATGTCTTCTTTTTATATTTATAATTTACGAAGTCTAGGTATACAGTGCAGTATTCTTATGAATTATTGAAACAAAGTTTAGCTGTTAAATGAAATTGTATAAATGGTTTTTCTTTTAAATTAGAATAAGTCCGTTTGTAACAATGACTCAATTTATTTAACACTTTCTACGAAGCCAAATGAATAAAATAGGAGTTGATATTATTAATATTGTCTATCTTTACGATTGTGTGTTAAACTTATAGTAAAATTCTCAAAAATTATATATTTTTACATTCGATAATATAAGTTTATTGTTTTTCTTATACATGTTATTGTTTATATTTTAGAATTACGTTTCAGAAAAGTCAACTTCAATTGAAATATAAATTTAAATTTGGTATTAGTCACATTTTTGATAATTTGTAATTTTTGCAAGTGGTTCAAGTCTATTTGCAGTTAACAAAAACACTGTTTTATCTAGAGAGTATTTATAAGAATGGTCGCATAATAAAATTAAACATGTCTGGAATCTTATAAGCATGAAACAAGCTTATTAGCCTTTAACAATATTTCTAAGTAGAATAACATACAAAACATTAAATATTTCCAAATAAAAACAAATGAACTTCTACCACTTTCATAAAAAGCGACTCGTATACAGACAATTTGGCGATTGTTTAACTGAATGTAAATGTATCGTTTAAGATCGAAGCCACAGATATAATTTAACGTTCAAGATTCTACTTTTAGGTGCTGGAATCGGTATAACTATGTCGGCGAATGGGTTAGCGTTAAACACTTATTTCAAAAAGAAAAGGAGAATCGCAACGGGGTTCAGTTGGACTTGCACAGGGATGGGACCCATTATAATACCACAGGTAATCGTAGTAATCAAGAATATGCTACTGCAGTGGCAGAAAAATAGTATTCATATACTGGTGACACTTACTATGGATTAATAATACTGTTTTCAGTCTAAAGCCAAGTTCATTATCATGTCAAATAATTGTTAAATCCTTCGTAAGTTAACAATTATAGTTATAATTTATGTTATAGTACCAACCTAAGACTTTTGTCGTACTTGGTTTGTACTACTTTCAAATTTTAAGTGAGAAACCATCCTTTTTATCCGAAGCGTCCCTTTCACTTATTTGCTTGTAACTTAAAAAAAATAATTTTATTTGAAAATTTTTTGGAAATAGTTTATTTAAAAATTTGATTGGAAATCAATTTTTGAAAATTTATTCTTGACCGATATATGGACAACTAAAAACGATACAAAATGTATCTGAACTTGTTTTCGATATCTTTTGTAGTTTCCGAATGACAAACAAATAAGTAAACGGGACGTTTCGAATAAAAAAGGTGGTTACTGCCTTAAAGTTTAAAAGTAGCATAAACCAAGTACGACAAAATTCTTAGGTTGGTCCTATAAACAATTAAGCAAAGTCACAAAAAAATCGGCGTGTATCACTTCGTGAACATCTCTTGTTAGTATTATTACTAAACACAGCATTGTTAATTCATAATTGGAATCGCCGGTGTACGGCCTACTTTTTTCTCTCGCTGTATATCGTTGTTATTGTTAAGGCTGCCGGTTGCAAGCCACGTATTTTGTTAAAAATTATCACAATGTTTCGTAAGCATTGGACTCCTTGATCAGGGGTCGAATGCTACGATGACACCGACAATTGTCGGGAAAATGTTTATTTAAATAATTTGTAATAAATGAGTCGAGTAAAAGTAGCGGTTTAATTATAAACAACGAGTACATTTTGTTATTTAAGCGAAAGCTATTTCAGTGATTCCATAAATACTTTAATTATAATCTCTTATTAGCGATTAGAAGGTTATTGTTTAATTAAAATGAAGTATAAAACAAATAATAATTAGTTCTTGATATTTCCTTATTTGTTGTATTTTCAACAATCGTCGTCAAGTGGATATTATTACTTTATACACACCTTTTTTACAGACTGTACTTGATAAGATAGTGACGAAAAGTACCTATACATATAGATACAGAATTTTTAAGTCATATTTGTGATCAACAAATATCTTTTTTATTCGAAATAATCTGTTTAGATTTATTCAAATAACAAGTAACTATATCCTCTTTCGATTTGAACTTTCAAATAAGAAACAATTTTTCATTAAATAATTATTCAAGTAACGATTATCGTAAATAATTGACATATTAATTAGTTATCACAGATATATACATGTATACATATATATACATATATTATAGATTACATTTGAAAGCCTCGATAGTGATAACTAGAGTGCGGATTTTATGCATTTATAGTCTGTAGAGCTCATAGAAATATAATAAAAGATAAAACTTTCATCAGGTGTAACCCATTTTTTATTCTATACCGTACCCAATGAGATATTTAAGAGAAGAAAGAAATTCCTATGTGTATTTATTTTTGTATTTATAAATTACTTTGGACTATCTCATGCTGCATAAAAATCCGCAGTCTAGTGATAACTATGAAATAACGAACCGTGAAAGCCTCAAACCTCTAAATATGCAGTCAATAATAACAATCTAATCACAAGGGAATATATTCGACACAGACACTAGATTCACGAGTGGAACTACCCAAAGTGCAACCCTCACTTTTTGATCAGCTGTTACCAGTTTGTAATACTCATCGAGCTGAACACTCCTGTAACCCCTTTTGGGTGGAGGCGGTTAAATAATTCACGAGATATTGATAAATTAAAGTTGACTCCTGTGAGATATGTCCTAAATTGCGGGCATTACTGACAATTAGAACTATATACATATGTTCATACCTGGTTGGCACAGCGGTTGAGTGTTTGACTGTTGGATGTATGCTACTTTTTTTGACGTTGATTCGAATTCTGGCGTGTTAAATTCTTTTTTATAGCTTATAATAGGGGAGATCGGGGTAAGATGGCGATATTAAGTGAAAATAAGTGTAACTATTTTCTTTCTGATACAAAAAAATGGTACTTTACTATAAGTTTTAATAACAAAAATATATCTACACTGCGTGGCATAACTATAAAACCACCATAAAATTTTCAATTCTTATGTATTGTGGTTAAAATAAAAACAAACCAAGTATGTCATGTCTGAAAATTGTTAAGAAATAATGTTTCTCCAGAAAAGGATATATTATATTCCTTTGGAAAAAAATAGTTCGTTTTTATTTTAACCACAATACATAAGGATTGAAAATTTTAGGGTGGTTTTATAGTTATACCTCTTAGTGTATATACAGGGTGTCCCAAAAAGATGGGACAATCCGCAACATACATATTCTTTGTGCAAATACAAATCGAAAGGTCATTTACCATTTTGTAATTTGAAGCTCCATTTTCGAGATATTAGCAGTTTTATATCTGGTGGTACAACCGCATAGGGGATGATTCTATGGGGGAAAAATAAATCGGAAATATAGAATAAATTTTTTTCATTCGAGCCTTCATTTTCGAGAATATCAAGTTTGAAAATTAATCTGAAACGCGTGTATTCGCAATGGTAGTAAGTAGAAACGGAATGCAATGGACAGACACGCTGGCCAAATACTATTCAATTCCACGCGTATGTACTATACACACATACATATACAACAGATCTTCAAATTCTGTTATCACGAATTTTCAACTTATTTTTTCACGTAGAATTATCCCCTACTCGGTTGTACCATTAGTTACATGACACCCTAAATGTATATGCGCGTTCGTTAAATATGTTACACGACACCGTGTATAAAGAGGATGTTGAATAACTACACTGATTTTGTAGGTAATCACACTTCTGATGCCCAAATACGGTATAGAAGGCACTGTTCTTATTATCGGTGGCGTTACATTTAACTCTGTTGCCTGTGCGCTATTATTACAACCTGTGTCCCGACATATTAAAAAGAAACGGAATACGGATCAGTTAAATCGCAACGAGGATGTGGACTGCAAGGAATCGTCAACGTACACCAAGGTATAATTCAACAGTAAATTGTATAATCGTATAAGTGATAATTAAATTATGGATTTTATGCAATTATGGCATACATAATTGATTAGTAGAAAGAAAAATGTTAATAAAGTTTAATGAGGTTTTTCATTTTATTTTGAATCTGACAGAACCCTGATCAGAATTGATGAATTTTTGCTTGATTCTCGTCTGTATAACTTGTTAATTCGCAAAGATCTATACTTGCATAAATGCCCACAACAATAGTGGTAATACAACGAATACAAATATCACATGAGAAATATACATTTTTTTTTCATTCATCATACTCAAATTGTCTTTCATACGTCGAAATATACAGGGTGTCTCAGGTCGGGTAGTACAACTGGGCAGGAGGTGATTCTACAAGAAAAAATAATTCGAAAAAAGAAAGAATAACATCTTTCCGACTGATGTTTTGTGTTCGAGACAGACGAATTTGAAAATTTTTTGGATACACGGACAATAGAATAGATCTTGACTAATGCGTCTGTTCATTGCAGGCTGTTTCTACTTCTTGCTAGCGCAATTACATGTGATTCAGATGAATTTTTCAATCTAATTTTCTCGAAAAGGAAACCTATCGTTCAATAATAGTCCAATATTTATAAATCATAATGAATCAATAAAGAAAACTGTATTTGTAAGATATTTACATGATATTCGCAAACATATACCTAAGTGTCTGGATAGTTTTGGACGATAGTGTATGAGCTTTTGATTCTAATGAAAAATTTGCAACTTCATGTTTCAAGATTTTATTTAAATGGTTCGAAACTTTTGTACGGTAGTGTACCTAGGGTAAGTGACCCAATTACAGATGGTGTCCGCATTATAGGGGATAACTATATTTCTATGAATTAAAAACACTATATTTATACAACATCTGAAATAATTTTTGTTAATGAAGTTTGGCTTCGCTTTTATTCGGAAGAGTTGAAACATTTTCAATTTAAACTCTCTTATTTATTAAGTTTTGTATTTTAATATTGAATCTGACAATTTGGTCGTGATTCTTCAAACAGTCTAAGCGAAAGTGCTAAGAACTCCCACGTGCACGAAAGTAAAGATAGACACTATACTTTTATGGAATAAAATAAAAAGAAACTAAAACATATTATTATAAATAAAATAAAATAAAATATATAATATAATATATATAAACATATATCTGTATAAATAAAAAATATTATACTTTTAATAAAACACTCCTAAATAGGGCAAAAAACTTTGTTTCCGTCCGTCGGTACTTCGCTAATTTTTGGGGGATTTCAGAAAAATGAAACTTACTGAAGAGCTCGAAAAAAAAACAATTATCAATAATTTCTTATGATTTCTTAACAAAAACAACCTAATCGGGTCACTAATCTGTCCGTAATTGGCTCACTTTCCCTATGTCTAAGGTTTTGAGAGTCAATAACCGTAGGTTCTCGAAATAATATTAATTGCATTTTCGTTCAGGTGAAAACAGAGACAGAAGATCAGAATGGAGATGATACGTGTGAAAAAAGATCTTCGGAGAACGTTGCTGAAAATAGACGAAACAGTTTCAGTGCTCTTAGCATCGCGAAGGAAAAGTTCGGAAGTCAATATTTGTATTACGATGACGAGGAGGATGGCGCTTCTGGTATAGATGTAATTGGTCCTAGTGCCGTTATGATGTCACGAGCCAATGACGGTTGGTAAGTATTGAATAATATGAAATTTTCGAGTAAATGAGAATAAATGAAGTTTTTTCGATTTTTTTTGCTTTATTTTTTCTTAAAGGTTTTCTCGAAAAGATACTTCAACCGTATCAATAGCATCGAAAACATCGAACAAGGAGAGTACTTCAAAATGTTCCAGCCAGAGACCACCGTTGACTATAAGTAGGCAATCCAGTCTCAATAGAGGATCGCCGGTAAGAAATATTAATAGGTAAATATTTATTGCACAGAGTTCGTCCACCGATCTTAATGAATCGTTAATAGTAACCTGGGATATCATTTGTCGATTCGGGCACTTTTATTAAGGGGGTACACAAGGTGTACTAGAGGGCTAAAAATAAACGTTTTCTTTTTGGGTTGGATCGAAGAGTGACTAATAACACACAATTGCACGTTTCACCATTTTTACTGTGGATGTAATATGTATTTTAAAACGAAAAAGAAACCTACAAAATATTAAAAATTAAGTGAAAAAGAAAGCGCCAAAGTCAGCGCTGCACAATGCGCGCGTCCGCGTGGTGAACATGATTTCAGTTGAATGACCTGAACCGAATGCAAAATCATTGTAAATGAGTGTTTTCTGAATTAAACGCTACAAGGTATATTTACACAATGCGTATTCTATATTGATGAAATTTCTACTAAACAGTTATTTTGGAATTGTTCAATTGGATGATTGATACTAGACTGTTGATTTTATGCATTTATAATTCATAGGGCTCTGCGAAATTCAATAAAAGACAAAAATTTCATCAAATGCAACGAGTTTTGGATTATATTCGGTACCCAATAACATACTTAAGACAAGAAAGAAATTCTTACGTTCCTTTATGAATCACTTTCGAAAATGTTATTTTGCATAAAAATCCCCAGTTTTATTATCACACTCATACATCTGTATCACGCATGTTTAATATTTCGTACTATAACAGGAATTTGTTTATAGTTCTTATATGCACAAAAAACTTTGTACATTTCTGAAATTTTTGGTTAGCGCCGTAGATTAGCATTTGTTGTACGTTACATCATTTATCCGTGGTTATCGTTATTCAGTTCTATCCCTTTTTTACAGAAGCGAAATATATTTTCTGTGATGAAAAATTATTATAAAAATTCTGTACAATATTCGTAGACAACATGGTGAAACCGATAGCCACCGAAGAAAAGTTGCCGGACTTCAGTCAGCCGGGGTTCCACGGATTGTTGTTAATGAGTCCAGCGAGAATCCCAAAAATGGCAACGATCCAAATTGTAATAAAAAAGACGAACAAAACACGCTGATACCCGAGGAGGAGGTGGAAACTGACCAACTGATCAATCAAGTAAGTATGTTACGATCTAAAATTCTTCAACGAATGATTTAATAATGATCAACCGATATCATTACATTGGTCAAAAAGTAATGTTCGATTTCTACAGTACATGGTGCATTTTTAATTTCGATACAAAAGCACTATTTTTAACTAATAAAATTACGTACACATTCTGAAAGCTGATACTTCAATACGTTGTGTAAGAAAATGAATCATTATGACTGGGTTGAATTTTTGTTGAATTCACCTTGTTTTGAAAATCAGTGTCAGGAAGGTGTAATATTTATTAGTTAAGATTAGTGCTTTGTAATGGAATAAAAAGAAACATCGTCTACTGCAGAAATCGGACATTATTTTTGTTGGCTAACCTAATAGGAACTCAAAAGTGGTGTGAGATATTTTTTGTGAGTGAACTCATAAAAGAAATTCTAAAATTGCGTTAATAGCATGCTGAAAGTTCAAGGTAATATCTAAGATTTGAATTCGCCATTGTGCTACGTATACACATGAGTAAAGCCGTGAAAGTCGACGTATAGATAATGGGGACTTCCGTTCGTAAGTAGCAATTATGCTACTGAACGTGGAATTTAAAAGGGTCAGAGTGAAAAAAACGTTGCTTAAATCATGAAATAAATGAATTCTTATTTAATCTGCATATTGTAGAGAAAATGTAAATTATACTAGCATAATGAACAATCTTAAATACCTGTTTAATTGCGAAAACAGAGATTTTCTGTATTCAGTGTACACGTAAACAAGGTTCGGGTGGAAAATCTTGTTGGTCTTATTTTAGGGGCACGTTGAAGAAAAACCGAAATCCTTCTTCAACAAGGTCATCATATTCTTCGATTTGGATCTACTTCGTGATCCCATTTACGTGAATTTAATGTTGGGGGTGACGCTCGCCAGTTTCACCGAGCTGAATTTCTCGATCCTGACGCCGTTTATTCTGGGCGAGTACGGGTACACGAAGGTCCAAGTAGCGACCTACATGTCGATTCTCGCCGGTGTCGACGTGGGGACCAGATTAACAATTCCTTTTGTAGCCGATTTCATTGGATGGGAGAATAGGACATTTTTCCTCGTAGGGATATGTGGAATGGCAGCCGGTCGAATCGGTAAGAAAAGAACGACTGTTATACAAGTAGGTCTCGATTAAGGCGAGTCCAAATAGTGCGATATTTGATTTGGTGCGAATTATAAATTGACACCAGGTCGCGTTTAATACGAACGAAAATTCAGTTAATGCGAGGTTTGCGAGATTTCTTTCATTCAACTGTGGAAAACAATAGTCTTCTGTCTGAAGGGGTTACATACTTTTAATCTGTTAAATAAGAGGAAAACTTAAACAACTTTTTTGTACATGCAGAATTATTGTTTATTGAAAATTCAACATATACATCTTATTATATGTTATTTCTTTAGCAATTTCTGAAAAATTGAGCTATAATATCTATCAACAGTAGGAAAGGGCAGCCATTTAATTATAACTTGTTTCACAAAAACACCATCTCTGGTACCAAATATATCTCTGTGGGCTTTTGTTTGAAACAAGTTTTTTTAATTTTATATTAAAGTAGACAAAAGGAACTAGTATTTATCAAAGCCGATTTTGAAATTATCAGTATTTTACAAAATGGCGGCTGTTAGAACTTAAATTTGTAGTTTCTGACATAAATTTTCAATTCTTTTGTTACTAAAGAAAAAGAAAAAATGCATGAATAGTAGTCAGTAGTCTTTTAAATATTTATGGTATCGATTTTGAAATATTGATTGTTTAATAAACAATAATTCTGCATATACAACAATTTTTTAATTTTCCCTCTTATTTAACAGCTCCAGGATATGTAACCCTTTAATAGTTTCTAAACTTCTTCTGTTTCGTAGAGACGATGCGTAAACGACTTTGAGCGTTTTCTGTTACATAGTCACACCGCGACGCGTCAATCTTCAGAATTTAATCAAATATATATGAAAAAAAAAATTAAATTAAAACCAATTCTTGTATTTCACGTATTCGAATAGTGCGAATTCGAATAACACGATCAATTTCTTGGACTTATTACTCGCAGTAATCGAGAGCTACCTGCAGTTTATTACTATAGAAGCAATAGTATAAGTATTTCCCTATTTTCTTTTCTTACTAATCAAGAAATACAATTATACTACTGTGCATGACGTTTCACTGTTTGCTTCGTAAAAATGACGTGGAATATTAGAGTATTTGGAGTATAGTTCGAGTATACTATACATATGTATATGTATGTATAGGGTGTTAGTAAAAATGTGAGAGACTTTCACAGGATGGATTCTATACGTCAAACTAAGATGAAAATTAATGACGAAATTGCGTTTGGGGCGTCGTTTCCGAGTTCCTAATTGTTGAAACATCGGGCAAAATCGTGTGGAATTTGTCTGGCTCGATGGGTTGGTTATACTACTCGAAGAGTCGATTCTTAGCCAATAAACGGGCTTAATCGATGACCTAGTACCGGGGTCGGCAAACTTTTGAGAGGGAAGAGCCAGACCTGTCTTTTACAACAATTTAAAAATTATTTGAGAGGCATAAATATATTTTTACAAATAAGGAAGATTTAAAGTAATATTATAGCAAGTAATAATGTTAATAATATCTTCATTACATGAAGAGTTTAGTTTTATTTTTAATTTCAATTTTCTTTCAGAGTCACATGTAAGTATCCAAAGAGACGCATGTGGCTCGCGAGTCGCAGTTTGCCGACTCCTGATCTAGTAAAACGAACGAATGAAATAAAATGAAATGAATGAAATGAATGAAATAATATGAAATAAACCCGTGAAACTGTTAAAGAGCCTCTCAAATACAATAACCCGTTGCGTAAGACGTATTGAGGTATTTCACGTCTAAGTATCTCGCCCATATTTTCAAAAATTAATAACTCCGAAACGAAGCCTCGAACGCAATTTCGTTATTCTCGATTTTCGTCTTAGTTTGGCGTATAGTAGAATTTTTATTTATATGGAGTAACGAGATGCATCGATTAATGCATTAAAAAATATACGATTCCATTTAAAAACCAAATTTGACCTTAATACGTCGTTTACGCGTCTACCTACAAAAAGTCTATCAGTAATTGTGCCCCGTTTAAAACCATTTAACTTTTGTCAGAAATGTTCTTTGGTATTATCAACGACGACGAACATAATCGCGGGGATCAATTTAATTAAATCATGGCTGAGTTGCTTTTATCCGATAATTATTATTTAAATATATACAAATAATTTATAATAAAAATAATTTGTCAATCAACTAACAATGGTAAAGGTAGAAACAAGGAGTGTCACGAAACAGTTTTTGTGAGAAGAGCTGTTTTTATTATCTTTATTCTCTGTTTTTAACCAGTGTCTACACCAAATTTTCAACGTTAACCTATGTGATTATTTCTATTTTGTAATTCTTTATGATTCGATAGTTTTGTAGTCTCAGTTGTCACCAACAAAATGTGTTATACATGGTAAAATCACTATAACTGGACATTTACCTGATTTTTTCTTCTCAATCTTCAAACGAGATTTTGGAATTTACTTTCGTAGGTCGGTATCTTCAGTAAATCGATTTACCATTCTCATTTGAATAATTATGTACCGTCCTTACTTTCGACACTTTTAATTCAAATAAGAAGCACCTAACCCTGATTCGCATATTTCGTAACACTCCGTTGGCACATACGGTAGACGTTCAGTCCGATAAAATCGATAAAGGTACTTCATTTTCGCATTCATTTTATCTGTTCGATATCTAACGTGGTTTTTATAGTAAAGTGCAGGTAATATTATAACACTGATACTATATGACGTTAACGCATGCTGTCAGCCTGACTCTTATTTTATTAACGCCTAACTCTATCTCTAAAATATGTTTGCAGCTGAATTTTAATCAATTTCTCTGTAGTCTGTACGTACTATTCGACCACTGGATTACACATAAATCTGTTTTGTTCGTTACTGCAGTTCTGAACAGTTTTCTTTTATAAATCGAATTTTTATCTGATTTACATGATTACATCTTCGGAATAACAGAATTTTTTCATGTAGATAAATAAATCAATAATATTCCAAAGATAACTGAGGTACGTATTATGTCTCGATGCATGATAATAACTTTCATGAGTCATATTCATGACAAACATATATTTGTTTAATCTACTGTGATATTATATGATATATTCTAAAAAAACGTTCTACAAAAAACGTAGAATGAGGATGTATGGACAATGAAACTTTGAAATGCGGTTTATTTAACGAGCGTAGTTTATTCACAATTGGAAAATTAATTAATGAATACGTCTGCGTATGTTTATGTAAATGTAGATTTTTTATGGATTGATCTGTTAGATTCTATAGATTAGTTAGGAGTTAAAGTCAAACAGAAATTTCTTTATTGTATTACGGAACTCTACAAGGCTCCAAATCAAATAAATACTCTATTAAACTTTATTATAAAATTTACTTTACTGAATTCTGGACAGTTAGAGTGGCATTATTTATTGTATTAGGCACTATATAAAACGTTATTTCGTATATGGAAATTCAACTGAAAAGAATAAATGGTTATTTATCATTTAAACAAATTTAAAAGAATAATTCACAATAATAAAGGCATTGGATATTGATATAGGTAGCTTTAATCCTTACTTGTTACTCGTTATTTATTATTTATCGGTCATTAAGCAAGCATTGTATACCTATTCTTTGTCATTATCTTACCGTACCGTGTGTATTAAAGTTTTCATCAAAAGTATGATATCCGTTCAACTACCATTGTCGAAAATCAATCAGATAAAGAAAACTCAGAAATCATTATTCTATACAATCTTCTATTCGAAAATAAGAAGTACAAATAAATTGTTTCTAGAATCATTGAAACATATCTCATTTAAATAAAAAAATTTAATCGTTATTAACAATTGAAACGTTTATCACACAAATAACATGATTATTTCAACAAAAAATTTCCCGATTTACACTATATAAATGTATTAGGTCAGTGCGAAAGTTTCGATGGATTTCCCTATGAATTCTGTGGATGTTTTTGTGGCAATAAACAATTATGTTAGTATATTGTATTATGTGTCAATGGCAATATAACGTTGTGAATTGTTATTTAGGACAAAAACTGATGCGATCGAGTGTGTTTTATTGTATTGATTATAATATTATTAAATGTATTAATAGTTTACTCGTTTAGATAAAAGAAACCATCAAAACTTTTATACTAACCTCAATAGTAATGAAATCTGGTAATGAGAAACCATTCGTACCATTTTTCAATTTCTGTTTTTTTTTTTAGTTCTCGCACACGTATGGGACTACAGTGTTGCGTTAGCGATATCAGTTTTAATAGGTGTTGGAAAAGGTTTTCGAACGATTTTCATGGCTCTCGTGATTCCGAGTCATGTTCCTTTATCGAGGTTACCGGGCGCGACCGGTATACAATTATTGACAAGCGGCATTGTCGCGCTAGTGTTCGGACCTATCATCGGTTGGCTTCGAGACGTCACGTCGGATTACGCAGTGATGCTCCACTGTTTAAACATTTTAACGTTTTACACAACGATTTCATGGTGTCTCGAGGTCTTCATCACGAAACGAAAATCCAAGATGGCGGCACAGAAGAAGGAGGCGCAAAATAAACCATTGACCGTGTAAATTTGTATGAACTACGATCTTTGTACGCGAAAGAAACAAATAAATCATTATTTTATATTTATTTTACCATAAAAACCTGTTAATAAATACGAGATTTTTTCATTATTTATTTCTAATAATACAGTAATCCCGTGTTGCACGCAACAAACTCGGGTCCGCTTCGCTGCATTCACCACGATGTGGAAACGTTTTCAGCACCTCACAATGTAATTTTTTGCTTGAAACTCGAGCCTCGACAGTTTGTCTTTGTACAGTACCGAACTTAGAAAAGGACAAGCGATTGAAAAACAGAGAGAAAGCTTCAGTTCCCATTCGATTCGACTGCGTGGCCCGCCTGTGATGCTCTTGCCGGCCAATGGCTACATCGTGGCTGCCTGCGGCTCGTGTTAGCTTACTCGGTCTCGGTATGTCTCGTGTTGGTCTCACCGACACGCAGAGCTCTCTTTCTTTTCCATTCGCTGTCCTTCGCGTCTCGTATCCTTTTTTTTTTTTTTTTTAACGGGAGGAAAACCTTGAAAATGTGCACCGCTTCCGTTGGGGGCGGAGACGGCCAATGCGGGATTTCACCACGCTAAGAAACCCCCGGTGACTCTCGAGCAGAGGGCTGGTAACGGGATCACTCGGTATAACAGCGATCAGCCCCGCCCATTGCCCTCCCCTAGAGGTGTTTAAGGGGCGGGCTTTTCTCCGGGGGTAGCGGTTGCTCCCCCCCCCCCACCAGGACGGCTACATGTGCCGTCCTTCCACCTCCTACCTACAGCGCCGAGGGGTCACCTCTCGACGCTGTCCTTTCGTGGGCCGACCGCGAAAGGAGGTGGTACCCTCAGTATTACCCCCTCGGCCCGGTTGCCCCGCGGGCGACGCGAGGGTCATCGCGGCTGTGACCCTATGAATCGCACCACCTGCGGAGCAACCCCTTGTCTTACAGCGACGCAACCCGCACCGCTGTATGTAGAAGAGGAGTGAGGCGGTTTAGGGTGCCCGAGGGCCCCCCGTTCCGGTCCCATCTCCGGGGAGGGGGATGGCCGCAGGGGTAGCAACTTGCCGCCTTCGCGCCCGCCTCACTCCTCTTCTTTCGCCCCGAGCGGGATCGGACCTTTCCCGATCCCGTCGTATCTCGTATCCTGGTTAAACTGCGAACGACGACTCGATTAATACACAGACTGGCTGTATCACTACAGCACACAGGGAAACACGTCGCACAGTTCGTTTCTTAAAACTCCGACTCTCACTCGGAATAAATAGTTCGATAACTTGACGCTCTGCCCTAGTATGACACGGGATAAATTGTTACATGATGGGTTAAAGACAGCGGTGCTGCGTTCGAATACTTTTGTGAGCAACTGTATATGTATACCTACGTACGCGTTTATTTGTTTTCCTTCCGACATTTAATATTGTACCATTTTAAATCTTCCTGACACTTTTGTACACAATAAACAAAGGCTCCAACATTTTTTTATGTTTGTACTTTATCGGAAGCAATAATAAAAGAATATGAATTTTTAACACCTTTTTTAATAGAAAGAATGTGTAATCAAGTTTTGACATTGTTCTTTACCTGAAAAAACATTTAAGGACCAGTGTAACGCTCTGAAAAGGAGCGTATTTTTTAAAAATTATTTCTGCAAAACACAACCGAATGTTTTGAAACTTTATAATTTATTTAAGGCACTATTATACTCTTAATTACCATTTTTTTATTAATTTAAACGTATAATTTTCCATGTGGTATATCCTCAAGTTCTGGTCATTTCAAACAAAACAAAATTTCGATAAATAGTAGCAATTTGTAAATCAGGTATCAAAATCAGGATGTTTCTTTTATACTTCGCACTAACAAAAAACATATAATTTGTTATGTTTCTCTGAAATTTTTAGGTTCATCCTCCAGTAACATGTATCTACTATAAGGTGGGAAAAGTATCAAGTTGATCGGTTAATTATTTTTTGAGTTACTTTGCACATTAATTTCAAAAACATGATTTCGAGAGAAGCACGTTCGATATCTGAGAATTATATTTCGTGCACCGTTCGCTCAATGTTACGTGCAACAATCATTTTTAGGAATTAAAAAGAAACATTTAAAAACATGTTTTCTAGACTCTTAACTGAAAGGTACTGACAAATACGATAAAAGATTTCTAATTTTTCTTTTCACCGTTACGCTGGTCTAATCTTTTGACAGAGGACACAAATTTCTGTTTAATTTTTGTTTTCAATTAACACGTCAATACATGACTGTATAACCATAAGGAGTGTTCGTGCGTACATAGCGTAGATATCATTTATCCATTCATATTTCATTAATATGACTAGTCATTTCGATTAATTGATAATAGTGATATCATTGCATGAGTCACGTAAGTGTACAAAATTTGATAATCGTTACGCAATATGAATTCGACTTACATGTTTTGTTACAGCTACATACGTGACTTCATTCATTTCTTTTCATTACTATGTCTTTATTTATTAAATTAATAGTCCTTGAGACAAACTAAAATTTTCATTTGCCTCTTATCCAATGGTAAAAACAGTAAAAATTATGATATTCCTTTAAAATATTAAAAGAATGACTTCTATATTTATATTAAATCTATTATATTACTTATTAAAGTACACTTTATATTATTGGGTTAAGGTTAAATCATAAATAACTTTCGCCATAGATATTGAAAGTACTTTATCTATTGATAATATTGGAATAAAATATCAGTTAATATTATTTAAATATCGGTAATAGTGAAAAAATGAAACAACATTAGACTTACTCAGTTCGACACGGACTGAGAACATGCAATGGATTATTAATCTTAATCGAAATGTACCTTGGACCGATATTAAATTTCGAGAAGAAGAATGAAACTTGTTTATAACTAACGTTTTATTTTTTAATTAATGAATAAATTTTACATTAACACTAGAACTAGCAACCCCATCAAAATGATGGATTGCAAATTTCTTATTGTACGATTAATGACATTACAATAGTCTTTTTGTTTTGGAATTTATGTTGACTTTTAATTTACTATACAATTTACATTATCCTGTACCATGCTTAATTGTACTATATATTATGATTACTATATTATATAATTTAATTTAGTATAGATTCAGTGATTGTTGTTTTACTATTAATCGGTTGACATGAAAGATATCTTATTCCCTTACCTTCAATCAAAACAATATGCCATAAGAGCGGCCCGCATCAGGTGATACCATCGTGGGGGTAACACCCAATGTTTTCAAATGTATGTAAAAAAATGATATTTTTACCAATTTTACAACTGTAAGCCCTTTTCTACAATAAATAATATTGCCTATGAACTCTTAAATCCATGCTTTCTATCGACCAAACATTTTATATAATATTGAGTGAAAAGGGGTGATATCATGGACTACTACCAATGCTAGGAACGCCACTGTTTAAAGCTATCTAAATAGCAAGGGCAACTGTGCACCTCAGAACCAGACAAATCCAAATGAGTCATATACATCATTTTTTTAATAGAATAATACATAAAATTTATTTATAATTTAATACATAAAATGTGCGATCAGCAATCTTTCTTTCTTCTACTGTAAAATTAAAGTATTGGATTTGTGTTAGTCTGGCTTACAATACATGTTGGACGTTATTCGAATGACGAACAAAATATTATTTATTATTTGATTTCAGTGTTGGGCAAAAATCGTTACGGATTACGAACAAAAAAATGACGAATAATATTAATTTATTCATTATCTTTTTATTCGTTATTCGAAATTTTTAAATTGAAAAGACGAATAACTTTTTTCTCGATGAATTTCAAGTAAATTTGATTTGTGTATCACTCTTTTCTCAAACATATTATCAGAAATCTTGTTCGAGACTTCTCTTCTACGCTACTATAATTAATCTACCTCGTTCCCACAAGATTTCTGATGATATGTTTGAGAATAGAGCGAACTTAAATCAAATTTACACAAAATTCATTGACAGAAAGACATTTATTCGTCTTTTTTATTTGAAAATATTGAATAACGAATAATATTGATTTATTTATTGTTTTTTTATTCGTTATTCGAAATAAGTTTTGCCCAACGGTGATATGGCTTTGAGGCACAGGGCTATAATCACATAATTTGCTAAATTCACACATACACCAATATATTATTGCACAATTTGTGTTCATCCTTTTTCATATTAACCAACATCACATGCTAAACTCGTCGAAACAAATATTGTTTGTAATCCGATAGATAAAATCGGAACGAAAATAACCGTCGATAAGGATATTACTGCATTTGTTGCAGTTGTCGTTTGCCGTATGTAACCCTGACAGGCCATGGCGGAACACAAAGGTTCAGATTAGATTAATTGGTAGTTTACAGCGCCGCTTATCTTTATAAAACGTAATAAGCATTCGTTTCGTGGAGTCGGTTCAAGATCAATCATCATGAGTACGCAAGACTGATATTACCCTTTCGATGCCGTGATTATGTTTCTGTAAAAGAGGCTCTCGGATCAATTGTGTTTGGTGTATATAGTTTACGGTGTCTAATACAATAAAGTTATACAGTGTTTAATAATAGAAAACTAAACGTGTCGAAGTGTGTGACAATCTAATAATAAAAATTTTCGGCTGAAGAAACTCGTGCAATAATATTGTTGATGACTAAGAATTTAAACGTTGCAGAAAATTGCATCAGTTCGAAGAAAAGTGATAATAGGTTGGCTTTTTGCACAAAATTTTAAAATGCTACATACCAATTCGAAGGATGATGAGTCTCCGTAAACGAACATCTGTTGAATCACAAAATATTCCTTTCGAAATATAGAAATTGCTGAAAGTGATTCTATACGAGATTCACTATTATACTGTGTGTCTTTAAATCATTGCACACGGAATGCTTTTTTTCTAGTAAATAGTGATTTAAATATCGACTTTTTACCTTGAATTAATTTATTATGTGACTCGGATTCAATTCTTTGTTTTTCATGAGATGTCATTCATTTAAGAATTGTTCTGTGCATTTTGGATCGTTTTGCATAACAACCGTATCAGAGTTTCATTAATTCTTTCTTCCATGTTTAAGTCTTCGAAAAGAGTGATTCGTCATATCAAAGATACGGGGATAACATCTTACGTGTAGCACGGTGTAATGCTACAAGGAAACCGATTAGATTTACATTTGCTGATATATCTGAAAAAAAGCGAAAATGAGCGCGGAAGAAACTGTTAAAGTTCCTCCCAACGGAAAATGGGGCTGGATGGTTGTTTTGGGGTACGCCTTGAATGGGGTACGTAAAGAATATGTAAAATAATCTATTATGAACTTACGTGTCGTATGTAAATCAATATAACTGCAATTATTTACACAAACAAGATTTCTTAGTAACAATTCAGACTGTGGATGTTTATGCAAATTAAAAATTTTTGACAATAATTCATAAATATAACAAGAACTGGGCAGAAACTGTTTACTGTAGGTTCTGGACGCTTTACTACCTTATTAACAATTCATTTAATTTGATCTGACTCGAAATATGATTTCTCATTATTACATTACAATGGCTGTTTTTGCGAAAAACTCGAGTTTAAACACTCGTAGTTCACCCGATCTGGCTGTCAGTCAGGATTTGGGATAGTTTCAAATAATTCAATAAGTTTCGATAACCTATTAATTGCATTTAGTGAAAAATTTCTGAAAACATCGCTCTTGATGTCGCAGACAAATTTGTTTTGGAAAATTAACCCTTTCACTATCATTTTCTAAAACTCGACTTAGACCACTGATAGCACATTATATGTAGGTATAGTGTCATCTTAAAAATTTCGTAAACGATAAAAAGACAAATGAATAAAGAAATTAGAGGTTGTGTAACATGAAAATGTTCACCAAAAATCACGATACCAGCGGGATGGAATATCTAGCTGTTTCGCCACAAACTTTTCCAGTAGAATTTACACCTTGTACATACAAGTACAAAGGTCTGCAGTCTGCATATAACACAGTTCGAGGAAAGCTTAAAACTTCTAAGAAAGCTTGCTCCTTTTTAACGAATAGGTACTTTTGGCAGTCGAAGCACATAAAGGTAGCTCCTATAAATTCTAACAAATGTCGGTTACGTTTATTGTTAATGTTCGAACATAAAAACAAATTCAACGACAACAGAACGAGCGTATGGGCATCGATTCGATAACGCTTTACTCTTCTACGTCTTAAATTAAAAGTGATCCAATCTCGAAGCCCAATGAAGAATACATGCCTTATGGATTATTGTTTGCTGATAAATAGTATATTTAAGATGTATGATAATCAAATTGACCTGAACAGCCCACGAAGATCCACTCGAGTTAAACAACTCTTATGATTTTTTAATTTATTCTAAATCCTACCGAAACATGTTTCTAATGTGTCCGAATTTCAAAAATATCACGAAAGTGAATGTTCAGTTTTTGGAAACGTCTTTTGCAGAACTTCGGATACCTAATCGTGTCCTCTAAAAGATGTGTGAAATATTCAAGATTACTGTACAGCATGGGGAGTAATTACATAAATGTTACAAGCACAATGCGTAGGTCTAAAAAGACAGACAACGGTCGTTCGTGTAATTACCTTGGCGACGGCGGTGCGAGTGGCAATGAAATTAAATGACGTGTTTTCATTTGATTCAGAATCAAAAATAGTCCATAATAGAGTAACGAAGTTTCTTCTGTTTCCAGTTTTTGTTAACAAGTGTATATAATTTGCATAAATACCAACAGTCCATTTATCATTATTGCAACGCGGTGAATATTATTTTTCAGATGTCAACCATATCCCTTATGGCGGGATTAGGGTTAATATTCAAAGACACATTTCCCCTTTTCGGTTTCACTGCCACGGAAGCGGCAATTATCATCAATACAAATTTAGCTTTTGGTATGTTACTCGGCCTGATCAATGGACCGTTGCTATGTACATACGGGTACAGAAAAATGGCGGTGGTCGGCAGCCTGCTTTACTCGATTGGCGTGACCGCAACAGCGTTCGTCAAATCATTCACCCTGATTATGATTTTCTACGGTATATGCGCCTGTAAGTGTTAATCAACTGGATACATTAAGTACATTTACAAGGAATGTTCGCGAAATGGTACACACCGATTTTTCTGTAACTTTGCCCAATTGTTTATGGAACGAATCTAAGAATTTTTTTTACTTTAACACTTTAAAGGAGAAACCAACCCTTTTTATCTGACGCGTTTCTCTTGCTAACTCATTTGTAACTTTTACACTAAAAAAGATATTAAAAGAAAGTTTAGATAAATTTTATGTCGTTTTTAGGCTTGTATACAGGGTGTCCCAGTTCTTTCCCGCCACACCTTACCAGCATATTGTATAAGCAAAAATAAGACAAAAATGTCATATAAACATAGGCTTTTAAATGCTCTATTAGAAAGTTGTAAACACAAATACGAAATAATAATCAACTGGTGTCGTTGGTTGATATCACTTACAATTCCATTTCAAAATGTTGTCCGTTATTATGAATGCGACTTCAGCAAGTAAAGCAGTAGAGTTTATGTAAACATAACAGATGTCAGTAATATGCTTATATGCTGTGTCCACGAAACATCAGTTCTTAACCATTTCGTATTTTTCTTTACAACTTCTTCATAAAGCATTTTAGAGCCTATGTTTATATAACATTTTTGTCTTATTTTTGCTTGTAGAATATGTTGGTACATTTTGACGAGAAAAACCTGGGACACCCTATATATCGGTAGGAAAAATTTTTGAGAAAAAATTATTTAGAAAAAAGGTTTTCAAAAATAATTTTTTTGAACATTTCTTTTTATCGATATATGGACAACTAAAAACTGTATAAAATTTATCTAAACTTCTGTTCGATACCTTTTGTTGTTTGCGAGTTACAATCGAGTAAGTAAAAGTTACGCTTCGGATTTTAGGGGTGGTTTCTTCCTTAATTTCTAAATGTAGCACGAACCAAAGACGGCAAAGTTTCCTAAGTTGGTCCCGTAAAAAATTGAACAAAGGTACAGAAAAGTCGATGTGCATCTCTTCACGCATATCCTTTTTAGTAACTCGGTGACGTTATAGACTATACAGGGTGGACAAAGAGAAATTATCACTTTGGGTTACAATCATTTCTCTGACAAATGTTACTTGATACCAAAGGTGCTTGTTACGTGGCAATAATGATTTTCTCGTAAGTGGATAACACAAGGTGTTTTGTAACATCTGGGACTGATTTCACCAATGAACAGAGGACACAAAACACTGAAAAAACGTTTGGTAATTATATGTATAGAATATGGTACACCTTGTCGATTTCAATGACTATGTTACATGTCATCAAGCTCAATGTCCTGAGTAATTGTATCCTATATTGTAGCGTCAACGTGTTTTAAATCGAAATCGGATGGTGTGACGGTCTACGCGGGAGAATTGCGAAAATGTTGACTCCGTAGACGTACGTACATAGCACTTTCCGAGTCGGTATACCGTTTTAGTGAGGCATTGTATGCCAAAAGATACAATACGTCAATAAAATATTTAACACAAGGTAGAGGATCGTCGGTTACGCAGACGGTCCTAAAATGCTAGCTTACTCTCTTATATAACTTACGATCTAAGTTCTTGTTTAACAAGGGAAGTTCGGTAACCCGAAAATTCCGTTTTTTTTTAACTTTACAGGTTTGTAGGGAACCTCAAGAGAAGTTTAGTGCAATTTTTGTTTTTGATCACCCACTGTATTATACACTAACGGCGAAAAGTACGGGACCAGAGTTCATGGAATAGTAACTTCTTACAGTGATTCCTCGATGAATGCGACACGAGCAACGGCAATATTCCCACCATTGAGGGGGTGGGGAGGGGGCCCCCCTCTAGAATCAACCAAAATATGGTAAACAGAAACTAAACAGAGTCTCGGCCTCAGGTACAAAACTAATTTATGAGGACTGAAAACCTTTCCGCCTTGCCATGAATGCTTCAACGCGGACCCGAGTACGTCGCACTCATCGAGACATTACTGTATTCTGTTACGATAGAATACAAGTTACGGAATAAGTGCATATACAAATATAATTAGTTTTATCGTATTACCATTATTAAATCACTGTAGAATAATATTTTTCTTTTTCTTTAATAAGTAATCAGATCTGATCCCATACTTTTGGCCGGTAGTGTACGTACATTCAGATAACCACCATTTAGCTTTAGTTTCAAAGATGTACAGCAAATATATTTTCAATAGCATGAATTGTATTGTTTCAAGGTGTTCCACAGCCCACAGATTTAATATTGTCATATACATACAATTGCTTTTCGTCTTTCGTGTTAAGTATTTACGTACAGTCGGTGAGAAAAATATTAAATATGCTCAAAAGTTTATATAATTATTGGGTTATGTCATAAATGACTTCTGTCATGGACACTAACTAATGATTAAACAGTAACGATAATAAGAATAGTATGAAAGAACATGTCATAAATTGATATTAATTGCGAAATGTCTTGGATCGACATAAACTTAGAAAAGGAAAATAGAAGTTAATTATAATTCAACCTAATATGAGCACTATTTGTTCTTGTTCCTAAATTATTCACATGGTTTCTCAACTCTTCGAATTTTAAGCAGTTATCGAGTATGTATTGTGTCTAGCTAGTAGAATCAGTTTCTATTGGTTGAGTTAGTTCATCAAGAAATAGGTCGCGTATTTATATTGTTTCCTTTATTGTAAAGGTATGATAGGATGTATTACTGCAGAATAGAATCAGATGACGGACATGGTATTAAAGGACCTTTTTCGTTCTATTTTAATACCTTTACCGTCCCTTGTCTTAAAGTGTTAACACCTGTATCTGAGACATCATGTAAAATACTATATACCGTAAAAGTACTATGTTGACTGTCACATCTTGGGAAATGCCACTGTGATCACGTGATAACCTTTTTTGGTATCAAATAACAATTATTTGACACTATTTTTTCTTCTGATTATCATTATTTCGAAGCTATTCAAGGTGATAATTTTATAGGTACCGAACAACATCCTCATATACTTCGTAATTTTACATTTCCCCTCGTATTTTTTCTAAACTTATTTCTGTAATTTTCTGTACAGCATTGGGTTTATGTTTGACATTATCTTCGTTTTCGTACGCGTTGAATTCTTATTTCACAACAAAAAGGGGACGAGCATTGTCGTTGGCGTTGACTATTGTTGGACTTGGCCCGATAGTGATACCACAAGTAACAACATTCTTGCTTCCGCATTATGGATTTCAGGTACTTTTTCATTTACAACAATTTATATTGTAATTCCAATTTAATTTTTAATTCACGTTCTTATTGCATTTCTATTTTTATAGTGTAAATGAAAAATTTTCTTTCACACGTGAAAGTCAATTCAAATTTTTTGAACTTACTGTCATAAGAAATGGAAAGTTAAATGAGTAATAAGTAATTATTAAAGTAGTATAAACATTATGTAACATAACGATATCAATTTATTGTTGCAATCGCTAATAAGTGATCGGTTGTAATTTAACCGATTGGATGTTTCAATTTTATTTTTCTTGTCTGTTAAGCTTGCAAAAAAAAACGAAACAGAAATAATGAATTGAAGAATTCCATGTATTTATATACTTTTAAACGTTATTTTACCAGGGTACGATACTACTATACGGAGCGTTCAGTTTACATTCGTTGGTAGGAAGTCTGCTGCTTCAGCCACTGAAATGGCACACGAAAATCGCGAAAAAACAATTGCAAACAAAGAAAGAAGAAGGGCTTATGAACGAAAAAGGAACGATAATTACAGGTGAGCATTTTAACGGGTACAAATTATTTGGGCGTTAGTAGAATTTTACGCTGCTAATTATATTATTAGTGGACTGTATACATATGTACGTTTACACGAATGAATGCTTTTTATAGGGCAAAGTTAGACAAACGAGAATTAGATGTGTAATTTTGCATTTCGATTTCTGGATTTTTAATAACGGATTCATGGATATGTATCCTTGTTGAAATAACGTTCATTTTAGATGAGAAGATTATTCTACAAGATGATGAATGTTCGATAAATTCGTTGTTGGACATACACAATATACAAAGAAAACGAAAGACCACTATGTCGACTATCGATCACGACGCTGAAATTGGAAGCATATATGGATTCGATATACCGCTGGCACGGCAATTCTCGGAATCGTTAAATGGTAAGGGAAACGTATAAAATCACTTCATAAAGAAAATAATAACAGAATATAGATTACCATAACGACGAGGAAAATTAATGTTTTTTGGTTCGTAATAACATTATTTGTATTCGATTATGTTATTTCAAGTAGAATTAATTTATTGAAATATTATTCTGTTGTAATGTTACGTGTTTTATTTATTGAACTAGTAAAATACTCCAAGAGACAACGAGAATAATTAATATTTTTCTATATCTGCACAAGGTGTTTATTGTTCTTATAGATTTATACCAGAAAAATTACTGTTATTTTTATTTACAATATAATACAAGTATATTTAAAATGTAACACATTTTAGAACCAGTATTGCCTAGAGCATTTCGTTGATAATAATTAAGTTAATTTACTTAGTTTCTCTAGGGGAGAAAGACATTACAAAAAGTCAACAGCACCTGCATCGTCGCTGTAAGTGTAAAAAGATATTCTATAGGTTTAAATAACTTGAAGTAATTCAAATCATTATGTTTCCGAAATAAATATACGTTTCCGTTTCAGTTAAAAGTATCGACACTGTCAATCTCGGCAGTAGCGTTAAAATTTTCGAGGAAAAATCTGATTTCCCAACGAAATACAGCAATCTACATATTTCAAACGGGAATAATCATAATTTGCAAGACACAAAGGAAAATGAATTGCTGATTCAGAAGAATGAAACAAAAACAACATTAAACACGGGGACTGACTGCAATGAAAAGTAACGTATATTCATAGAAATTTTTTATAAGTTACAAGTACGAATTTTGGAGGGTGACGATCATTTAAAAATGACGAAACAAGGCGAAACTTAAGGGGATCATTCCACGATGCTACCGAATTATGTAAAAATAAAAATTTCGACTTTTTTGAACCTGGTCAAATAAAGTAACGCCTTTAATGACTCATTTTCGTGTAAAATTTTTAAAAAATCGTTATTATACAATTTATCTCGTCAGTTCCTGTAAACGTATAAAACCCGCAGTGTCTATCAATCGTATCCACGATTCGATGAAACAACCGACTGTTTTAAATAGTCCTCTCACTTACAGGTCCGAAAAGAAGTCAGTTTTAAAGGAAATATCACAGAAGCTGATTCAGCTTTTCGATTTGGATTTACTACGGGACCCAATCTATGTAAATATGATGGTAGGGATGTCGGTCGCTATTTTTGCCGAAGCGAATTTTTCTCAACTGACACCGTTTATTCTAACAGACATGAATCTGTCGACCAAGGAAATCTCGACCATTATGAGTCTCACTGCCAGTACGGATTTGGTATTTCGAACTCTTGCTCCGTTCCTTGGAGAATGGTTCCGGCAGCCGCCGAGAATCATGTACATGTTTAGTTTGTGCCTTTTAATTATGAGCAGATCTTGTAAGTATTAGAGTATATATGTATATACAGTGGGTAAAAAAAGTATTAGTACACTCTTTAACACAGAAAAAAACTCTTTCAAAATTGGACCAAGTGACTCGAGTTCCTCTTTGAACTTAGAAGGATTAGTGTACTAAATGATCTGTTAACAAAATGTTCAAAAGGTTGCAATTGGTCGGAATCGCAAAGAAAATAGTGAAGGTCGCTTTTTGCGATCTTTTTATCTGAGATTGTAATGAAAATTTAACAAATACATTGCATAGATTATGCATGCTGAAAATTTCATCGAAATCGGTTGATGTTGTTATGAGATACGAACGGTTAAAAATGATGAAAATCGCAGTTTATTGCGACTTTTGACCTACAACTGTAGAGTATCCAAAGATTCTTACATCTTTCGATGCCTGTTACTCGTTTCTGTATTAACCGGTTTCAATAAAAGTATTTATTAAATTTTCATTATAGTGTCAAACAAAAAAGATATAAAAAACGACATTTACTATTTTCTTCGACATTCTGAAAAGTAGCAAATTTTACAAAATTTTTTTAACACATCATTTCGTAAACTAATACTTCTAACTTCACAAAGAAACTCACGTCACTTGGACCAATTTTGAAAGAGTCGTTCTGTTTTAAAGGCTGTACGAATACTTTTTTACTACTATACTACTTTTCCTATCGAAATTAACCCTGCTACGGTCCTTAGTGTAACTGATAGTTTCCCAACCTGTTTTGGCTCACCGACCCCTTTTCAAAGTTTTTGTTGTTCAGCGCACCCTTCAGGTAAATTATCTATATTATCAAAATTTCTAAGTGTAGTTTTGCGTGTAATCTTCGAATCTTAAAAAGTTACATTGGAAATATAGAAAATAAACTAACTAGAATGCCCCCTCATATCTCCTCAGCGCCCACCAGTAGGCGGTAGCGTGCAGTTTGGAAACCTATGATTCAGCTACACATTTCTTTAGATATTTCGCAAACCATCTCTGAAGGGATGAATTTAAGATCAAGTTAAAGATATGAAAAATTGTAACAGCGTTAAAGAAATGAGAACGTGATTAGGTCGAAATAGACCCGAAGATCGTAGCAAGGTTAAAGGGGTACACCGCCTTGTAGGCCTACAAAAAAATAGGTAAATTAAACATTTTAATTTCTCAAGTAATCATTGATAGCAATATTGGAATCTTTTTAAGGGCATATTTGAATTTTATTTTCACACATTAGTTATTATTTGAAAGTACGAACTGATGGAGTAATGAAATATGTATAGTCTACCGTTATGTCTGGCCGGACCTTGTCAGTTGGCACCCAGCAGATTAACGAAATTATTCATCCGATTAACTTTGAACACATTATTCCTCATAGAAATTATCCATATTGTGGCGGACGATTTTTGAGTAATTTTAAAAGATAAGGAAATGGCAGGTTTATAAAGAAAAATAATGTATTTTTCAACTTTGGACATTCATCGAAATCCAACAAATTAAAATATCAAAAAAATAGTACGCTACATTGTAGATAATTTTATAAGGAATAATTTGTCCAAATTTGAAATTAATCTGATGAATAGTTTCGGAGATCTAGTGGGTCGAATCTAACAGTAGCAACCATATTGCAATTTTAAATAATAACTACATACATAATGTGTGAAAGTGAAGTTAAAATGTTGCCTAACATCCTTGAAAAGGATCCGAATATTTTACTCAATAATTATCTCAGAAAAAAAGTTACATTTATCTATTTTCTTAAGGCCTACAAAATGGTATACACCCTTAACACGTTGATTGTCAGAAGAATGGGTTTCAACCATATTGTCATAGTTTGTATATTTATTTTATGATAGTTAGCAGCCTATGTTATGATATCAGTTAATATTTTAAAGCGTACAGATATTGTCGTTTCTTCTAATGTTTCTATTAACTCTGGTTGTCGCTGGTCACCAGTGACCACCATGGCAGTCAACGTGTTAAAAGTCAACAGACAAACATTTCTTGGTAATATTATTTAAAAAAATATTATATTTCTATAAATTCCGTTCTCCTTTTACGTACAGTCACGGACCCAGTTTCTGATCAGAACCCAATTCCTGATCAGTCTAGTATACAATAGATAGCACATAATAAGTTTAGGTAAATATTTACAACAAGGGAGCCATCTCGGATGATTTTTCCATATGTTGTCAAGGTCATCACCCTGAGTTTGTTATCAAAAAATGTTATTTTTTTTCTTGTACTGTCACGAATCAACTCCGATTACTATAATGCTTCAGAGTTGGTTACAGACAGTTCAAGAAAAAGGTATCATTGTTTTCCTAGTGACAATTGAATAAAAAATTGAAACTTTCTGAAGGTCGCTCAAGAGGGTGACCTTGACAACATGTGTCAAAGACAAGGTCATCGGTCATTTTACTTATCAATACTTCTAAAGTACGATACTAAATTTTTTTTTATAAAACCTTTGATAAAACCTACTCAGGGTGATAACCTGGACAACATATTAAAAAATCATCGAAATCGGAGCTGGCTTCTTATTGTAAATATTTACCTAAGTTTATTACAATTAAGGTTTGTTTCCAAAAAGTTACTCAATAATTATTGACGATTTTGAAATTTATACGTAAAATTTGGTAGTTCAGAGTGAGATACAGATATAAGATTTAGGTAATCCAAAATTGCTCCCCTTGCACTTCTTACTTTAAAGGTTAAATTATAATGTAATTATGGTTATTTCCGTACTTTTGTTAATACCAAATTAAAGATAAAACATCTATTTACTAGAATAACAACAAATCTGTTGGATTGGGTTAATTTTTCTACTTATACGTTAAGAAAACAGAGATAGTTACTCTTAAGTGTTCAGGAACTGGGTCGTAGCGGTATTGAAATGTCATACTGTAATGACATTGCAGGGTTTATTAGCTACTGACAATAAGTCGTAAATAAGCACCATCTGAAAGTTAATACGTCTTTAAACAATAAATAAAAAAAGTTACTGCTGTAATTCATTAATTTAAAGTCGTAAATATTAACTTACCGAAGGGATATATTGGCGCCTCAGTTGTCCCTAAAAATTGAATGTTAAAGTTTAATTCGTTTCGAAAGCATTCAAGAGACATGACAAATTTTTGGAACTGTTTCGATATTTTCTTCCATAGATGATAAATTGAGTAATAAATGCTTGTCTTTAAACACTATTCAATGTTACAATTTTACATTTCTCAATCCGAATTTTTTTTCTGATGCAGCCTTAATATTCGTGGATCGATATACGTCGACCCTGTTCGTCGCCGTTGGATTAGGAGCTTCTAAAGGGATTCGTTCGGTGTATATGTCACTGGTGATACCCGATTATGTTCCTATTGATAGGTTGCCTAACGCATCAGGCATTCAGATGATCGTAAATGGTGTGATACTATTAACTATTGGGCCGATGCTGGGTACGTAGAAGTATAATATTCGTTCATAATCGATAAACAATACGAACAGAAACAAAAAAAAAGGTTACTTTTTCTTAGATATTGGATTGTTCGGAAAGTTCGTAGCGTTTTTAAGGGTACAATCTACACTACGCCACAAAATTAAAGGTTCATTAAAATTCGATCGAAAAATTGTCGATACAGTAATGTCTCGATAAGTGTGATGTACTCGGGTCTGCTTCGGAGTATTCATAGCAAGGCGGAAAGGTTTTCACTCCCTCATAAATTAACTTTTTAATCTGTCTTAATCGTACTGCTCTAACTTCTATTTTTCTGGGAATTCGTTTTGAGATAACTTTGTAAAGTCCCACTTTTATAAGGATCTTTAAAAAGTTGACGTACGACCTTGTTTGACCGTTTTACTGCACTTCAAATGAAAAGTGGGTCGCTGACATTAGCACTGGAACTATCAAAGCAGTCAAAATGACTGGTTAGTAGCACTTTTATAACGGTCATTCAAATGCTGTAGCAATGGATTTTCTCAGAAGGTTTACAACTTCTATTGAAATATGAAAGTGAAGAAATTAGTTGATTTATAAATTTGTATATTTTGAAAAGTTTTTCATGTTCATTGATCCGATAGAAATCGATACATGTTATCGTCCGTAGGTCTAGTGTTAGAATAACCCAAAGTACACCACGAAGAGGTTGCACGGTCGAACTTATACTTCATGTATGATGTGTGCGTGTGTTTAGTGCGTGTATGGTGCATTTAGTGTGCTTACAAGCGAGCATTACCCTCTCGTCGTTTTACACATTAAACACGCACTCGACAATTTTTCTGTCGAATTTTAATGATCCTTCAATTTGGTGGTGTGGTGTATATTTGAATTCAATTTATATCATAGTCTTATTTACTACTTTTATCAAAATTTCATTCCTCTTTTTTCAATTAATTTCATCGCACCAGTTATATACAATTTCGATTGTTTAGAGTAGTTTAGACTATAAAAAAAGCTCTTCAACCTGCATCTAGATGGATTTTGTTTTCGAAGTTTCTCCTTGATACAGAATATTTTAGCGATGTAGAGGAATCAGCTGATGGGGCAAATTATAATTAATTGGGTAGATGTTATAAAAGCCAGTCGAAGTGGTGTCATTTTTTTTTTACAAGTTCAATAGAACGTATTTGTTCGTACGTTTCGTCGATATTCCTCGTGAAAAACAACAACAAAAATGACGATTAACTTGTACAACAAACAGATTCATATCACACCTGAAAAATAGTAGGTAGGATTTTTCCTTCGTTCAGTAAAAAGTGAACGCAGACACTGTGCTCGAAACGGTACGAACTTTCTGAAAGACTCAAAAAACAATGCTTGCCAGAAAGACACTTTCCAAATCGTCAATAATTATTTCTTATGCATACGATTAATATGAAGCACGATTGTATATTATAATATTTTCGTATACTCCTATGTAATTCTATAAAGAATGAATAGGCCAAATCACGGAGAATACAAAAATAATTCAGTGAACTTATAATTATGGCTAGCAGATGCATTTTGGACATGTACCTAATTTAGAATCCATACAATTTTTATTATGTCTATTGTGTTTTATCTTCATTATCAATATTTGCATTCTTCGTTTAAAACACGTGGCGACTAATATCAAAAAAATAAGCATTCCATCATCCAAAATTTGTTTATCTGCACAACTCGTCTTGCCTAATTCATTCCGGATAAGAGTGGTTCTACTGTGATAAACATTTCTGAACGAAAGTTGTATTCTCCAAGAAATTGTTAATGTTAATGTGAAACAAATCTTCGTACATAATACCTGGATAAACTGATATTATGTAAAGTAGCTATGTTCAGTTTTGTTTATTTCCTTCGTTGATCCAACCAAATCTCAATATTTTTTTTATCGGTGTTGAGCAGAAGATATTTCGGATAACGAATAAAAAGATGAAGAATTTTATTGATTTATTCATCGTTGTTTTATTCGTTAGTCGCAACTAAGTACTTTTCCCCAATACTGAAATCAAATAATGAATAACATATAAAATTATGAATAACATAAAATTTAAGTATATAACGAAGGAAGAAAAAGAAATAAAATTTTATTATATAACGATAGAGTACAACGAGTAAAATTTTATTCGTGGTTAGAATAAAAATTTATTTCGAATAACGACCAACACTGTTCTTTATTTACAACTGTTACAGGCTTAATTCGCGACACTGCCGGATATTACACACCTTGCATAATTGTGATAAACTGTATCACTGCGGTTACGGTGTTAATGTGGTCAGTGGAGATGTACATCGTACGGAGAAGGAAGCTTCGAGTAGAAAACGAGCAACCGGACAATTCTTAATTATGTGTGTATATAACATTAATTGTACATTTTTTATTGTATTAACTGTTACTGTAAGGTAATGCTTATACTGCCACGTGTATATTAGCCAACGTTTACTTAACTATTTTATAAATACGCAAATATAGGTTATTTTTATTAAACATTTGATAAGATCATTACTAGGCTGCCAATTTTTATGTAAATTCCCATTTTTATAGACCAATTTACAAAAGTAATATATAAACGGAAATTTATAAGTTAATTTGTCATTTAATATGTATTATTTATAGGTTGTTAAAATAAGTTTAAGTAAATTCAGTATCTATTGTCCACTACTCTTTTACAGCTTTTAAAAACTAATGACATTCATTCGACAACGACTGTTAAAAGTAAAGCAAATAGAGGGAAAATCATTTATTTTTTGTTTTGTACTTCGTTCTAAATATAAAAATGATTTCCTGTTTGCAAAAAAGAATGTATAAATGTAATATTTATGGAATTATTAAAATAAGTTTTATAAGCTTACTTTTATTTCTTTTTTAGCACGCCTTATTTAAATAAATCTTTGACCGGACACTGCGATCATGAATGATTATTAAAAGCAGGAATAGTCAGCAATACACAAGAATAGTCATATTCCAAAACACTTGTATCCGATGAACTCTTATGATTAATTTTTTCAAAAACAAGACTAAACTCAAAAATTTGTTCAACATTTTTCATATGAGGTCACTGAATGTAGTAGGAGATAGGAGATAAAAGGAACAAAAATTTGAATTATTGTTTATTAAAAATTCAACATATACATCTTATTATATGTTATTTCCTTAGCAATTTCTGAAAAATTGAGTTTGAATATATTTCAACAGATGAAAATGGCTGCCATTTAAAAGCGTTTTACTCGAAATGTAGTTTTCAAAATCGGTACCAGAAATATTTCAAAGACTTCTGAACCAAGTTGTATCAAAGTTTGTGGTAATATTCTTAAGACTAAAATCTAGTACTTGACGAAGCGAATTTTTGATTCGTGCATTTTTTCTTTTTTTAGTAACAATAGATGTAAAAATTTATGTTGGAAGCTACAAGTTTAAATTCAAACAGCCGCCGTTTTGTAAAATAGTGATATTTTACGCCCAAAGTGTAAAGTGTAAATTCACATTTGTGTGAAACATCGTTGAACTTGTTTCAACGTACGCTATTATATTATTCAAAAAAACAAATTATGGCATTCTATTTAAAAAACATTGCAAACTTGACCTTGAAATCACTACTCTACTTACAGACAAAATTATTTATACCACGTATATTCTGTCTTCCCTTTCATACAAAACAACGTTTTATCAGAAAATTTTTCTGATACCTTCAGCTCCTTACGAGATATTCCACTGTAAAGGCTAATTCACTACGCCGTTTTCCATATTTTCCACGGTAGAAGTAAAATCGTCTGCGACACTTTCTATACGAAACGGTAACTACGGTATCATCGTGCCTTTAATTAAGGTCATGTGCCTGTTCAATGTCGTTCGCCACTATAACGACGTGAAGTGTTTCGTTGCCGCAAGATCCAGCCTTTTCTTTTTTATAGCCGCGATCTTTCGTGGCAACAATGGATCGTATTTTCCCAGAATCTTCCGGTAAAAGTTTTCTCGCACGCCATTGAGAGAACAACGTGCCATCACGAGTTTCGTTTGGAGCAGATGATTACGTATTTTCTACCCATTAGGCAGTCGCGAAATTTACATAATAATTTGTAAACTTGTTACACTTACAATTAGACAGCGGACTATAAACGCTACAAAATCTTAATAGAAACAAGCGTAACGTAGGAAGTTTATCAATATAACGGTCCTTATTTATTCTTGAGAGATGAGTAATTCAGGTCATTGATTGAAGAAATTATTATTATTTGTTACGTTTCCTCGAATTCCCATGATTATAGATATTTTTTTCGTAACTCAGACACAAGGGAAAATTTATATTGCCAATTAAAGGATTCATTAAATTAAATATGAAACACTGATTACATTAACTCAAACGCTGCCGTGGGTTCGGTAACCAGTGTTGTGCATTATTCGAATAAAAGTTCGAATAAATTTATCGAATAAAATTTTGTTCGACTAATCTTCGAGAATAAACGTTGTGAATAAAGCGAATTAATTCGAGAATAACGAGTCATTTGTTGTATTTGAATACATATTTGTTCAGGGAATAAAGGTATCATATATGTCATTAGCACGCATCAGTGACTGGTACACGTGCAATGTGAATGGATGTGTAAGTGTTGTTTATGGAATGAAACGAGGAAGTGTGACGACAGATGCGTAAAGATAGCGAATAATTCCAGGTCGATTACTAAATGATCAGAAATTATACAGGGCTAATTATGAATAAACTTTTATTCGTTATTCGATTTCAGATATTGATTGGTCCAAAGTAATTGCGGGTCACGAATAAAACGACGACGAATAAATCAATATTGTTCGTTATTTTTTTATTCGTTATTCGAAATTTTCAAATATAAAAAAGACGAATTGATTTTTGTTTTCAATTGAATTTCATGAAAATTTGATTCAAGTATTCAAAGTACTTTTCACAAATATTTCATCGGAAATCTTGGTGCAGACATTTCTCTTATGCTACTATGGTTAAGTTACACTATCAGTTATAAATATTAGGACACATGGTCTGTATCAAGAAAATGTGATCTATTGTAAAAATGATGTATTTTAGGCCACATTTATTATTTCATTGTAGAATAAATATTCTCCATCGAGCTTTAATATCCTTTAAACAATATTCCTTTCAGACATTCAGCAATTTCGTAACGCATTATAACATTCATTGCACATTCGGTAAGTGCGTTAATACTCATAAGCGAAAGTGTACCTCGCTCTCGTAACATTTCGGATGACATGTCTGAGAAAGGGGTGGTGCTTAAATCAAATTTACATGAAATTCATTAAACAAAAATCATTCGTGTTTCTGATTCAAAAACTTCGAGTAACGTAAAATATTAATTCATTCGTCATCTTTTTCTTTGTTATTCGAAACAACTTTTTCCCAACGCCGGTGTATACGTGGAAAATATTGTTGCAACACAAAGCTGGCTGTAACTCGAATACAATACAGTATCAGACGTAATGTTTATATGAACATTTTTTTGTCATTTTAGTGTTCTGCATCCATTCCTGCAATACTTCCTACATAGTACGGAGCACCATGTACATGCATAAACTCCGTAGTCTAATCCTATCTAAAAATCGATTCCATTTTCAGTGTGATCGTACATTCGCACCGATTACAAAAACATTCATTCTCAAGGACACTGACCATGAATACGCCATTCTTTTTTTGGTCATTTTAAAAAGTAGTAGCAAGCATTGTTTTATCTTCTGATTTCATATTTCTCTATTTTCGATGGTAGATAATTAGTAATTATTTTTGAAATATTAAAGAAATAGGTAGGTACATACCTGTGGCGTGTTCCATGAATTTAGTTTAGCTATATGTATACATTTATACAATACCACATTGTGCGTCCGTGTCTTTAAGGGGTCTTACCATTGTGAAAACCCTCTTTTTATTTTTTGGGAATTTTTTTTCAGTGAACGAAATTTTCAACATAAATGAAGTGTTGTTTATGTATTAATACACTTATTGAGGGTATAAACAATTTTTTTTTAAACGTTTAATAGTTTCCTTTTATATACACAACGTACTGAAAGTACGAAAAAAAAATTTTTTATACTCTCAGTATGTGTATGTATTAATAAATAGACAACACTTCATTTATGTTGAACATTTCGTTCATTGAAACAAAATTCTCAAAAAGTGACAATTTTTCAGGGCATCACAGTGGTACCACTCATTTAGGGTTAATCTACGAGTTTGTTCGTCTCTAAATTATTTTTTTATTTCCTTAGTGATTTTCGTGACACATCAGAGTATGATAAAATTAGAGAGCACCGTCTCCTCGTAAATTTCAGTCACGAAACCACCGGCGAAGCGTTTGCACTTTTCGATCGACGAGACAACGTGAACCGGAATACGGATCCCCTTTCACCGTATAATCGGGAAAGTCCGAAACATTGTCAATCAGCTGGCACGCCTTGTATACATACTGTATGAACGTGCATCGTCGTCGTAACTGAATACAAATGGCCGATGCTTTTTGGCCGGCTACCAATTATGCGCGATCATCGAAAGTGACGATAAGGGAAAGCCACGAGGTTTCATTTTTTATTTGTTTTTTTTTTCCGGAAGAATGTGTAGTACAGCGATCGAGAAGAGTGAAAAGATTGAATCTGAAATTTTGGGCAGGACACTCAATCAGAAATGAATTGTAATTTTCATACGACAGACAATCCTTTTGGGTAATTGTCTAGGTGGAGGAGACACGGTGAATTCGTAAAAAGTCTTCTGAGTGGCCTAAACAGGCCACATATTTTTGTGTACAGTCGTATGAGTTCAGTTTTGACAAGTTTATTTATTATTATTCATAGAATGATATTTTCTTCTGGGTTCCATACTGTTATCATAAATGGCATTTTTACTCGTATACTGTGGATTTCAGTTTTGTTTTTATTTACCACGGCTTCTTGTAACTTCCATCCACTATGCATTGTGTATGTGTATGTATTTTCTTTTGTTATATTTGTATAATATATTCGTAGTATAAGTAGAAAGTTTTCCTCAAAATTTTCTCAAAGTAGAAAATTTTCTGTCAACATTAAGAGCTCACTGTCTTAATAAGTGAAAGTAAAAAAGTATTCGCTGGCCAATTACTATCGGATCCCCGTGTGCAATAGTTTATTAAAAAGCTTTCTTGAATTAATAAGAAATATTTTGTAATTGCTTTTTTCGCTAAGGAAAAAGTTGTTCCAATCATCCCAGGAACCCCTTATTTCCGGGAGTCGAAGCTATTTTGGGACACCCTGTATATACCTATTATTAATATTAATACTAATGGAACTATTATTAAACGTTTCGTATTAAAACGTATCTTAAGCACTCATCCAGAGGTTGGTTTTGTAATTAGTACTATATCATTTATTTAACACTTTATAATCGGCATTATAAATTGTCATCAATAAATATTCGAATATAATACAATACTAACTAGAAAATTTACACGTTGATTTACTAACAGTCACGCTTACAATTAACTTACGTCTATCATGGTAATAAGAGTCTTAGCTTTTACAAAATATTTACAAAGCACCAGGTGTAAGTACTGTCTCTTAGGGAAATGTAAAAGTAGCGTCATATTTGATAGTGTGTGGTTCATCGTCGTGTAAAATGTAAGTGAAGTAATTACGTGTTATCGAAGACTGTAAGCTCCTTCGTATCTTTTTACAAATCACCTAGTTATTTTACAAGAGACTTAAATGTATCATGGTTACTTACTGGCCATAATAAAGTTCTATATAGGCTTACGTTCGAACTCGGAAATTATTTTGTTTCCTCAGGAATATGTATTGTCAGAGTTGAGAAATTAACAAGTCATTGACGATTGTCAGTGACTGTTTCTAGGGCATCTTGTTACGAATGTATCCCCTTGTCATCGTTTAGCTCGTGAAACCTGCAAATAATACTACGGTAAGTATGATAAAAATTTGCAGCATGCAATATATTATACATATTCTTCTTTAAAATACACAAATGGATTTGGTTCGAACCTACTATTCTTCACGGCAATTATATGACTCGAAATGAAGATTATACATAGTTCAACAGGTATTATATTTTTAAATACCTATTTGTATTCAATGTATTTAAACCTGTCGTATGTTTCTTGTATCTTTCACGTTTCTTAAAAACAAATTATTCAAAAATTTGAAATAGTTATATTCGAAATTTGTTCTTATTTTAAAATTTGAAATAATTATATCCGAAAGGATACAAATGTGAAGTGTAAGTGAGGGGAACAGCAAGGTTATATTTATACGAATATGTAATATACATAAACTATATATGTACATACATATGACAACTATATTGTGCAAGAACAAGGTGTTCAAAATATAAAGGCTTTGAGCTTTAGGAGCCTATAGTAATCATCAAGAGGAGTAAAATTTGTCTCATCAGTATAAATCCTAACATCAATTCTTTCGATGTGAAATTAACTTCCATATTTACAAGCTTCGATATCGTGATTCCCTTCGCGAAACATTGAAACATATATATAAAAGAACACTACTAAAAGTTTGAAAAAAGATTTTTAATACTCTTAATAAATGTATTAATAAATAAACAACACTTCATTTATGTCGAACATTTCGCTCACCGGAAAGAAATGTCCAAAAAATAACAATTTTTCAGGACTTCACAATGGCAAGACCCCTTAAATCAATTTGTAACAATTCTATTCGTATCTGACGTAAACTGAAATGTTTATAAAACGTTGATATGGCGATCTACTAAGCTGAAGTATCTATAAAACGTTAATATGGCGATTAAAGTCTCGACTATCTTCTACGATTTCGTACCTTCGAGTGTCCAGTATAAAGTACCGGACCATTCACGGGGCCATCCACCGGGACCTCCTCCACCGTTTCATCGTCGTTCCCGTCCGAGTTCAACGAAGCAAATTCCTCATGTTCCATGATTCCCCATAGTGGTATGTCCTCCTTCCCAGTGGACGCGACCGCGAGATTATTCACAGCCTGCGGAAGCACTTGGTAGGCTTTCTCGATCGCCTCGAATCCACTCGAATCGTCCTTACTTTCCTGTCCGTCTTTTTCACCCGATTTCATATTCTCCCGTTTCTGTTTCTCAAGATCATTCTTAGGAGACCCCGAGGGCACCGGTTGCGGCGTCACCACGTAAACTTTTTCCTTGTCCACAGGTGATATCGACACAGAGTATCCCTCCCAGGTCACCTTCTCCCCCGTTGCAAGTTCGTTCGTGGTTCCTGAGCTACTGGACATCGATTTCGAGCTCTCTACTCGCACAACATTCAGCGGCTATAAAATGAGAATCGATTACAGTTAAAGAAGTATCTGGTTCACACTAACGACGACATTTTTTGCCCGACTATGGCGAAGCCAAAAGGAGGGTAGTACTTTTCGCGTGTCTGTATGTATGTATGTATTGGTGTTCATCAGTTTCGCTTTACAGACAAAACGGCTGGAGCGATTTTGAGAAATGAAATATCGTTGGACTCGTCTCGACATTGTGGGTGACATAGGATAGGTGACGTCACGAAATGATCAATGTGACGGACGTTAGCAGCTATAATTAATGTCAGACTAAACAAACATTGTTTTCAAACCCCGGCAATATGGGTATTAAATGAAAGCTCTTAGCAAAACGGTCCAAAAATATATATACTAGTATAGTACTTCTATGTACAGGGTGTAAGTTTTTGAAAAGAGAAGCTCCTGGGGTGATTTGAAACAACTTTTTCCTTAGCGAAAAAGTTCTCCGAGGCTTTGTTAATAGTTATTTATGAAAAACCTCAACCACTCAGAGCGGGAGTCTGTCACATTACGTTACATGCGATTCTAATCTAATAGACGTAACGATAAATAATCTACTATTTTCTGATAAACGTAGTCTGCGTGTTTGAAAACCAAACAAAAACATTCCGCTAATGTCAATCATATATTTCTTTTAGTTTGCCTGACGTCATTTAGCCAATAAAAGAGCGCAAATGATATTTTGAACCTACATCGTTTCGCCCGTTTATTAAAGATTGACGGGACAGTTCGTCCCAACGTAACTTTTTACAATTTTCGTTTGGATATATGCCCCTGAACACAACTATTCATTTTTAAAAATAAAATTTATAAAGAAAAGGATTTACACATTAGATGTTCAGGAACTAAATTAAAAAAACGGACTAGAATTGTATGCTCAAGGTTTATAGTTGGACTCTATATTAAACGTTTTAGTTATCTCAGGTATTATAATTTTTTCATTTGTATTTTTTCTGCCATCGAGATCTATTGCCGACATATGATCCCATTTTAAAGTACTAATGGAACTATAATATTATCCCACTTTCAAACTTAACCTGTCCGTTCTTCGTATTTGAGTGTAATCATAGTTCGTGCTATTGTTATTGAGTTCATTGTTAAAAAAAGGAATCCGTCTCGAAAGGGTTACGAAAAGAACGTAGCGGATTACTCGTTAGGTATACCTAATAATAAAGCAAATACAATACTTGAAACGTCATCGTAATAATGCCTATGTAATAAAAAGAATCCGGTAATATAAAAGTTTATAGAGTTCGGCATGAAATTACCGCTTGAACTGCTTCGATGTGGTTGCTCGCGGAACCTTCGTGGTCCACTTCGTTGAAGTTGAATCCGGCCAAGGAATAGGACCTCACGCTTTCATTGCTGTCCTTCGTTTCGCCCGTATGATCCACGGATTCGGTCGTCGTCAAATACTCCGACGGAATTTTCTTCGATGGTAGAAGATACGGGCGTGATGGGCTTGGCAAAATAGTGCTGGCTGGTGTGGGTTTCGAGTATTCCTAAACAAACATTTACACTTTTGTCAGTCGCGTAATACGGAGCGATCAATGACAGAAATCACGTAGCTAAATCTTTTGCGAAAAACGCGAATTTCATTCGATAGAAATACCACTAATTCAACAATACTATTGAAATTGTAAGCAATCTTTGAAATTCGTATACGATTAAACAACTCTAAACGAAAATAGGGCAAACGCACTAATGAATGAACACTTAAGAAATTTTGTAATAATTAGAGTCGAATTTTAAATAATCATAACATTAATAAATGTTTGGTACATGAAAATTACATTTTTTAACATCTACACCTTTTTATAATGTGTAAACTTCAATTTGAAAAATTGGTAGCATAAAATGGTTATACATATATAAATATTGTCTGAAATGAATAAAAATTCTGGAAACATTTTGATCAAACACACATATCTTTAGTAGTGTCGTGGATTATTGGTCAATTTTCTTCGAATGATACATAATGAAAAGCAGCAGTGTATCTAAGAGTGTCATTCTGACCTTTAAACAGTTAATGAGATTGAATTATTGTTTGCCAAGTGTCTCTTCATCCCAGAAGAAATATTGTGTTACTTTTTTTTTATCTTTCATTCGTAATTCGAAACTGTTGATCCAGATAATGAATTTGCCCATTTCTGGTTGTAGCTGGTCGCGTATCAGTAATCATCACGTATTTGTAAGAATCGTTATTGTGGTCACAGTCGCGTTGCGTAATTTTAGTCAACCTCGTCTCTGATCTGACTGTGACGCGACGTCGTGATGAAACAAAACTTTAGAGTAATCGTAACTACACGTACACCCTCTCTGTTCACCACGTGATTAAGAATCCTACTCTCGATTGCTCGAACATATTAGTAGAAACAACATTTAGGCAGAAAAAAATTTATACAAGTACAATTTTGAAGACGAAGACACCAATGTTATATGGATATCCTGTTAACTTTGAAAAATTGTTTTAAATAGTAACATCTTTTATCAGTAAAACCAACATATAAACACCATGATCAAGATGGCATTACTTACTAAATATTACAAAGAGAAGAGATTAAAAGTGCAAGCACGAGCTTACTTGTATCGTCCAGTTGTCGATATTCTTTTGTAGCCTTCGAACATCGATGGAATTGTTCACTTTAGCAGTCCTTGTATCGTTTTCTGCAGCTGTTAATGATGGTCTTACGATTGCTGCAGGTAATCGTTAATGTTCGGATTAGTTGGCGTTGGTACTTTTCTGGGTTGTGTTCTTTCAAGATTATTTTTAATGCTCCAGTCGCCATAGGATTGTTGAAACGGTATCGGTGTGTAATCTGACGTATACGGTATAATCACTTGCACCTGAAATGGTATTTTTTCGTAATGGAAAACACTTATTTACTGCATTCTATGTGTAAAACGTAGATCGCTAATGTTTATGCACATTTGCATGTCGCAGAATATTATAAAAAAGCTCGTGTCAGATAATGTTCTTTCATCTATTAAGGGGGGAGCCTGGTGTAAACAGCTAAAAATGAACGAATTTTTGGCAATTTATTGTGAAGAAAGTATTAAACCAACTACACTTTGAACCTTTGAGAATCATTGCTCCAACATATCTGTTTTTATATTTTCATTAGAAAAAAATAGAGGCTACACTGAATATTAATATAGAAACAGTGAAAAGAAACGGTTAATTTCAACTTTACTTACGCAAAAAGCGAATGACTCTATAGAAACTACATTGTTCGTTTTCTGTTGAATTATATTTTTGTTCCTTTTTTAAAATAAATGTTATATTTATGTCTTCAAACCGATTTTTACGCTATTTTTAGTAAACACAAATTTTTCCATAGGTATGGAATAATTATAAGAATTCATCATAAAACATGGTGACCTTATACAAATTTCGACCAGTGTACTCACAGATATGAAAACATACATGATACTAATATCTTATTTCGTAAGTTAAAATACGTAGCCATATGACAACCATGGGAATAAAAGGGTTAACTCGAGTAACAGAGACTCCAGAGTAAATTTCAACTCTACCAACAAAAATTCAACTTACCTGTTTATTTCGTTTCACGTTCTGCTGCCTCTGAACCGTCTCATTGGTATCCCTCGGATCTGGTCTACCTTGCTGTTCAACGGTCTTACCAGTTTCAGAGGAATTACCCCTTCGAGCAAGATGGTCCAGCAATGCGTTGTCCCTTGAAGACTCGTTCCTCGAGCTCGGTGTATTCGACAACAGACTCGTCCACAGAAATCCCGGTTGTCCGGATGGCAAGATGTACGAGACATCTTGCTGACTCGTGTATCGTGTGGTGATCGTCGACGTTTCAGCGAATCGGGTCTGGTTGTCCTCCGACGAATCCACGATCGATGGTGTCGAAGGTCCAAACACGTGATCGACATTTGGCGTGCTCGACAAAGAGTCAGACACGGTCGTGAACGAGTCATCGGGGAACGTGTGATCGGTTTGAAAATTGTAATTCGTGGTCGGTCTGACCGTATTGGGGTCAGTGACCCCGTACGTGAAACCTGGGGTCCGCCATTTTCCGTCGTCACGACCTTCGCTTTTCTTCGTGAGATCTATCAACGGCGACTGTTCAATGTGTATCGAACCATCATTGACCGAAGGGCTACCAGCGGGAGTTGTCTGCACGGTCGCGTGAGAATCTCCGACCACGCTACCGCTAGGAGACAGATCCTCTGCGTACTGGTAATTTAAATTTTCCGCGTCTTCACCGTCGTAACCGGCGCTCCCGAAGCTGGGCGGATTTGCATCCGGGGGTAAGTAATTTAAACCAGTATTCTGTCCCGAGCTCGGGTCAAACGGTGCACGGTAGCCATTTTGATCGGTATACTCATGATTTTTGATATTCGAAACTGCTCCGAAACCGGTGACGGTATTCTGATTGTCTTGCACCGGGTGGTTTAGCGGTCTGTCGTGGTCATGCTTCAAAAGGGAGGGATCCTGATACTCCTGATCGATATACGGCCCAGAAATTGGCGGCTGGTCATCAGGGATTGAATCACCAAACGATCCTTTATGATCCTTAATCTTTGTGTCGCCCTCGGTTTCATAATTCTGCGGTGCGTTACTCGCTTGTCCTTGATTTATTTGGGTCCCGCTGGACGTTAGATCGTGGTTATTACCGATATTCAAGTGCTGGTGACCGATTCCAGCGGTTAATCCCCCGGTCACGGTCGGTGTCAGAGGTAAAGGCGGCGGTTCGAGACCGAGGTTCTCTATGTGATGATTCTGAGCTGGCTGACCGAACGGTTCCGCTTTGTAGAGCGGAGCTACCGGGCCAGGAAGTAGCAGCGGATTCGACGACGCGCTGATCACGCTTGGTTGACCGTTGTGTTGCACTTGCGCGTACGAAAAGTCTGGGACTTTGATCTCGTGAGAGGCGGCGTATTGGACATCGTGGCTCGAGTGACTGCTTGGAGGAAGGTGACTGCTCGGAGGAAGGTAACCGTTCGAGGCTTGCGGAGGAGGAAGAAGATAGTTGTCAGAGTGATGTTCACCGGCCTGCATCGGAATCCAAGGGGCTTTGTTGCAAGGATTGCAGGATCTTCCTTTGTTCGGCGGTGGAAGATAGTGTTTTGCGTCCTGCGACGCGGGCGGAGGAGGTTTGTAAATTGGCGCAGGATGACTGGGAGCAGGTCTGAGAGGCTGAACCGGGTGTGTATTGAGAGGAGGTGCGAATACTGGACCGGAATGGCCAGGTGGCGGGCCAAGTGGAGGGTACAAAGGTAGATCGAGCGATGGCCCGGACGGCGGATGCAAAGACGGCTCAGGATGCGAGGCCGCAGAGTGTGAATTGAATGGCGGAAGGTGAGCCTGAGGAGTCGGAGGATAAGACGCTTCGTATTGCGGCGGCGATTTCAACGGTGGGGATGGCGGGGAGCCGTAACCGAAAGGATTCAACCAGTTCATGAATTTCGAAAAGTATCCAGGCGCTTCTGCTGCTTGGGGATTGGCCAGCCTTCCCGTTCGTATTGGATGATGTTTTGGAAGTGGAGGTGGTACGAGATATTGATTCAAAGCGATTCTGCGAGTGCGCCTGACGGAACCTCGCCCACCGAAGGGCAATCCTCCTCGATCATTTTTCAAAGCTGACGACGTGCTGCTTATGGCGACCAGCAGCAGTATGACTAATAAAACCTGGAATCAGATATGGAAATTGGTAATCGATTTGGTTTATTTTGTAATTAAAAAGTGAACGTTGTATGTAAAGCTACGTAAACTGTTACACTTTTATCGGAATACTTTTATGTTTTAGAAGCTTTACGTAGGTGTCTCATGGAACTTTAGTGAAATGATACTATCGTGTGCTAATTTAATATTGTGGACGTTTATGTAAATTGCAGACTGCGAATAGTGATGATAAAATTAGGTAAATTAGCTTTTTCCTCTGCTCTTATTTACGTTACCCAGTGTAGTACCCACTCGAGATATTTATATTCGTTATTTGAAAACAGTGGAAATCGAATTTGTGTGCGACACCACGATGAAGATCCTTTTAACAGGACATATCACGCGTTTCTTTAAAAAAAATGTACATTGCAGGTTGAAATCATATTCATTTCTATCGGTTAAAAATGAATAAATGCATTCGAAACGTTAAACTACTACGCGAAACGTGTAAATAGAACGTTGTTAAAAGAAATCCTTTCCTTATTCCTTACTCTTCGTTGTTATTTGAATTTAAAAATTTGCCTAGATCTGTATATATGTATACAGATTTCTGAGAATCTGTTCTAATTGAATATTTTATAAAAAGGTAACTGATATGTTTCAGTAATTTGTGATGCGATAATTACAATAATTATAATTCCCAGCAAGTTTTATGATTTATCGAAAAACATCGCGTGTCTCTCGCAAAAGTCAACAAGTGCGAAAGATGCACGCAGGATAAACCAAAAGCGGGTCACACTTCCTGTGAAGCATACAGAATTGTTTCGTGTTATTCCAGAACCATTCTGTAGTTTCACTTAATTTGGATGATTATACTAATTGTTATACCAAAAGTGACATTGTATTAATTATTTACAAATATGTATTTCTAGTAAATTATCAATTAAATTGTGCAACTAAAAGATGACCTGCTTGTACTATATACAAAAACAAAGTTACGTATAAATATTTTAAACTAACAAATATTTAATAAAGAATTAATATTATTTAATGAATGATATATTTACTAATTATAATTTATATTAGCATAAATTCTGATTAATAGATTTTGAATTACGATGCCTTCAATTGAGAAATCATACACTGTTTATTTATAAAAGCAAAGTCAATTTTTGTTTTATACAATCTTATTTAAAATAAATTAATATTTCACTATTATTTAAAGGTAAATTGATCTTCTATTTTTTTGTAAAGTCACTTCCAAAAATAGTATGTACATTTCTAAATAAACTATGTATACTTTTTTATTCAAATGCATCCTAATCTAAAGTATCAAGGTTTATTCCAATATAAATTACGAGTGTTCATTCCGACCTTTATCATATCAATTAATAAGTGTTTAAAAAGACGACAACCTGATTGTCTCATTGAAATACTCTGCAGCTCTAAAGTTTGGGATCATTGATCATAATCGTAACTTTTAAAAGAATACAACATAATGTATTCTGGCGTTTAATTTTTTTTGGTAATACCGTCATCCTATAATCATAATCTATTACAAATAAACCACTGAAATAAAATAATATATTTGTATACGTTAGACCACTATATATTAATACACTAATGTTTTATTTTTCTTAGCCATTATAAAAAAATATATGAAGTTGGCAATGTCAATATACATATAGGACATTTCATATCTTCCGTCCAGTTAAATATGTGTCATTAACAAAAATATCCTTCCATATAGTCTTCGTGATGGTTAAAATTAATGGAACGTCCTGTCTATTTAAATGGAATAATAATAGAAACATAACAAGAATAGACTTACAGCCCCTTGTAATTCACTCGATTTCGATTACATTTATCGTATGAGGAAGCTTAAAATTCTATTCTATAAAACACCAATGACCTTTATAACATCGAAAAGGAAAATATTACGATCGGCAATTGTACTTTCCTTACAGCTATATTGCGGATATTTATGCAAATTATTAGCTGTAAGCAAAAATAATAGAATTCTACTTTTTGCCAAAACAGTAGCAGAAAGTTGTATAGTATGTATAATTGTCTTGAATAACATGCCACAGTAATTGTTCAATGTCAATCATGATTTTCGACTACAAAACGGCCATTATCTTTCCTTACACCTATAAAACTTTATATGGTAATTGTGCAGTTTAGCGGCTTTTCTCAATTTTAGCTGTAAATATCTTTGAAACTAAACCTAATCGGTGCTAATATGTACAAGAAAAAGTTGTTCAAAATGTTGAGTTCTATAACATATCCAAAGGTCATTGAAATCAGTGTTGAGTATATAATTCTGAATGATTTCTCACGCTTTTTTAAACAAAAATAACACATGTACATTACTTTTTCGACCCCCTCTTGTTGATTTTTTGTTTTAGTGATAAAATGAAGTTATTAGAAAAAACCGCAGTGAAATAATTAAAATTAAGAAAAGTCGCTAAACTGCACGATTACCTTTATATTTTATATTTCATGTTTCATATTTCCGTTTCTATTTTATACTCCATCTATATTCTATTTCTTGACCATTTTACATTCCTCACTAAATCACGCGGTAAACGATCCTGAACTTTTGACCGGCGCGACGGTAGTATCCGTGAAATAATGTCCAATAAATGTATGGGAAACGAAGGAGATCAGCGGCGAAAGGGGAACAAGTACAGCATAAAATCAGGCGCAGTGAAGATTCGCGCGACCAACTATTGCCTACGAGCTTCTCACGGGTCACGGATTCAATGGTTTTCCCGTGGTACTCCACGTGCTATTTTACGTCCGCAGGAAATTATGCAGATGTGTGAGAGAGAACGAGAGTACTCGCGAACCGTCGCAAGAACCGGAACTTCATAAGAAAGTGAACGAACCGTGGCGCGAGGGGGGAGGGGGATGTACAGTCACCTCATATCACTTTTAAACCTACTAACGTCAAACTTAATGCGCGTTACATTTCCGTCAACGGACGAATGTTTACGCAGGTGTAAAAACTTCATTTCGTTTTTTTTTACACTTCTGCGTGAAATAGCTAAATGTAATTTAATCCCTTAACACTAAAACTACCGAAACCGTCAAAATAACGGATATCAGATTTTTTATTTTACAATTACTGAAATTCTAGAAATATTTTCATCGGAATTTATGTTAACCTCTAATTTATTATACACTTTATTTTGTAGTATACTAAGTTATATTGCATTACATATTACACGTATTAATATGTTACACAATTTAACGTAGCATACACTCAATGCTGGTAGTTCTAGTGTTAAGGGTACATTTTCATGTAAAGTTTTCAAAAAATCGATTCTTTTGTGCAAAAGCATTTGCGTTACCCAACCCAGACCTGCTCCAGAAAATATTTAACAAATATTAATTCTAATATTTGAAAGCTGGATTGAAAAAGGAATTATTGAAACGATGTTTTGCGACAAAATATGCAAAACAATAACGAAAGCTACAATCGTAGTTTGTGGCAGTTAAAGTATCAACCAGAAGTTTTGCTCTGTTTTCTTTTCTTTAAATTCAGAAAAGTGCATTTTTTTCACAAGTTTACATGAAAATGTACCTTAAAGGGTCAGACTAGTGCAACGCTGTGAATGGGAAAGTATTTTTGCGAATTATTTCTGCAAAACTCTATCACCTGAATCTTTTGAAACTTTGTGTATTTATTAAGGCATAACGAAACATTAGCATTTTCTGTTACTAATTGAAACGTATGCATTTCCACTTGGCACTTCTTTAAACCCAAATCTGCACAAAAACTGCAACAGTTGGTGTGTATTATGCCGGCTGTTGTAGTCATCTCGAACAAAAGAAAACACAAATATTTCAATGAATTGTACGCTTGTAGTTAGAGAATGAACCTGACTTTAAAATTCTAGAATGAGAACTGCACAAATAGTAGCCATTTGAAAATAAAGTTTGAAAATTTGGATTTTTGTTTGTACTAGGCATTAACATAAAACATATCTGGACTCCACATTTTCAAACTTTAGAGGAGAGCAAATCAAAGGTGCGAAAACCTTGTAACTTTGGAACCGTTCAGTAAGAATTGAGCGAGAAACAATCGCCACCTTCGAACTATTGAATTGATTTAGGACAAGTCTCTATATGTTGAAATGGTGAACTTTCCATTAATTCCCCTATGTGATGGACTTTACACTGTTTTACAAATATGAACTTAATATCATTTTTAGACTATCATGTAC